GTTGGTTAACAACTTGTTTTTACGAAACTTAAATCAGCTCCCAGCCCTAGTTTCTTTCTTTTGTTCAGTTGGTTTGGTGGCTGGGTCCATTTAACCCACTAAAAGCAAGTCACTTTTGGCGGGGGATCTGACACCGCAAAAAATCACGCGGCACAGGTGCGGCCTGACGACCAGCTGCAGTTGAGCCCAGAGGAGCTGCCCATTGCCATGCAGCGTGAGTCGCCAGTTGCACCCATTTCCAGTACTTAGGCTGGAGAGAAAGACTCATAGATTGTGCATGGTCTAAACGAAAATCATGTACAACATATATATATATACACACACACACGTGTGTGGGTGTGTGCGTGTGTAAGAACATATGTATATATACATATATCTTTATACATCTTGAAATTGTGGTTTTGTTTATATGCTTGCGCGAGCAACAAAGTTAGCGACTTCCGTGGAAGGCTGATCTCTTGACGGAAAGTATCTCCTTGCGTTCTTCTTATGTTCAGACACATCGCGTTCGCGCAATTCTTGGGATGGCTCAAGACCTAGTTGTAAAGTTGGTACTGCGATTGAAAGGGGTGGTCACACGGGCTCCCGCGTAAGGAAAACACGTAGCGGCGAAAGGCCCAGAAAGCTTTTCTTAGAGGCAAGCTTGTCGCGTAAGTGGTTTGGATTCATTGCAGGCCGTCCTTTTATTGGCATTACAAAGTCACTTGGCAGTGACACTCTAAAACTCAAGTAGTGCGTGCCGCTAATGCGTTTTTGAGGCTAATTAGTTGCCTGCCAAAACCTTGCCGAGACTGAACAACACAAAAACGGATCAGTGCGCGCCGCTAATTCATTTTTGGTTTTCTTTGATTTGCCGTTGCCGTTCCTTTGTTTCTCTAGTTGTCCGCGGGTTTTGCCCGTTGGTTTTCCTTTGGTTGTCCGCCGGGTTGCCATTGAGTTTCCGTTGGGGTCCTCTGGTTTTCATTTGGTTTTCCGTCGGTTTCCCGTTGGTGTTCCCGTGGTTTTCCGCTGGTTTGTTGCTTTTCCCGTTGGTTTATTGGTTTTCAACAACTGCTAAAAGGGCTTCCCACAGGCTCCCCCCGGGATCTTGTTTATCCGAAGTGCACTGCAGCGGTGATGCATGCTTGGCATGACAGGGCCGGCCAAGGGTTTGTGGATGCCTTCGCACAAGCCACAGGAACCTCCCATGGCAATCAATTGCCCTCCCACCAATCAACGCGGAACCTGAAAGGCTAAAGGGGGGTCCTTGAAGATCATATCCCTTTTAAAGGCACCCCCGAACGTCAGGTTCCATGTTACAGTGTAGATTGCCATGGGGAGTTACTAAGCTGGCCCGCACTGCCTCACCACAAGTAGCAGAGATTCCAAAGCAGTTTTCGGCCGGTCAGGAGCTGGAGAAGGAAGTGCCACCGCGAGTGCTGTACCCGCTGAACCCACGGGCAGCCCACAACACGACGCAGTACTCCTTCAAGGAGAAGTGCTTCAAGGTGGACGAGCAGGCCAACGGACGCCAGAAGCCGAGTCCCTTTGCGCGGGTTCTTCAAAGCTTCCCATGTGCATGTTGCGAGCTAAGCTGCAATTCATAATGAAACCCATGGTAAATGCATGTCAGAGTTTCCGTGCCCACCTGCGATGTTGAGCGCATGAGCCACGGCGTTGGCCTTCGATCGCTGTAGCAAAAGCGAACCGGGGATCAGTCGATTCTTGGCACCATGTCCTCCATTGCAGCCTTCAAAGCGTTGAGATCATGTGTGCCTTAGGTTGAAGCATTTTGGAGAGAGGGAGAGAGAGAGGGAGAGGGAGAGGGAGAGGGAGAGGGAGAGGGAGAGGGAGAGGAGAGAGAAGCACGGAACCAGGAAGGCGTGCCACCAGGTGCCCCAGCCGTAAACATTGGCTGTTTGTTTCTCAAGGGTTTGGGACAAGCAAGCGGAACATTCTATGTTCTGTCGGCGTGCGATTGCGTCTTGACAAGTATGCCATTCCACCATCCCCAAATCGTACAGATCTACGGCAATGTCCGGAGTTCCGGTGCCGGCCCCTCTAGCGCCAGGTAGACCAAGTGGTGATGCACTTTGCCCTGGATGGCCTGATCCTCTTGAAAGAGAGCCCAGAAGCCTACGAGCAAATCGAGGCCGCGATTGGAACGACCCTACCGGGCCTCGCTGGAATTGCCACCAGAAATGAGGTCAGCCTCTTGACATGCAGGTTTCAGCTTAGCAGGATCTTCCAAATCATGGACATGTCAGCTTACCTGGATCTTTCAGCTTACCTAAATGCTCTAATTGCTAGGATTCAGGAATCAATCTCAGCCATTTTGGCTGACGATGCCGACGGCAGCGGGCCAAATTCATGCCATATCATGCCGTTGGCTAATTTTCAGGGCCATGTGCAACCTTCCCCCATTGAAGTAGACCATTTTTTTTTTTTTTGGGGGGGGGGGTGGGATTTGGAGGTTCTGGAGAAGAAGGAGGCAGAGCAGAATGAGAAGGAGGAGGCTGAGGCCATCGATGAAGACTTTGACCCTCCGGAGAACGAGAAGGAGAGGGCAGGTGAAAAGAAGAGCCCCGAGAATCGTGTTAGCCCAGGAAACAAAAGAAGATACATTGTTCAAACCAGGTACATGATTAATTATAAGGGCAAATGATTGACATGCCCGAGCACAAAGCTGAGCGGCATGGCGCGTGATTTCATGCCTCGTGTTCTCCATGCAATTGGAGGCAGAAGCTCATCTAGCTCAGCATGCGATCATGGCCGAACTAAGCCCGTATAAAGCCTCTAAGGCCTTATTAGGCTCCAGCCCCACGCAGGAGGTACCAGTGAAGAATCCGCTACGTGACTTGGGCTGTGTGTTTGAGAGTCTGAGCCGTGGAGCGTCAGGGCACCATCGGTTGTCGATTCCGAGTCAAGATCAGAAGCCTTCAAATCTGGAATCTACCACTCCGAGCTTCACATGGTTGTTGGGAAACATGTTTTTCTTATTGTGGTGTAGTGGTTGGAATCCAACCCACTTAGCTGCCAAAATTTGATATATATATATATATATATATTGGGCTCCCCTTCCAACGTCAGCCAAGTTCAAGCAGGAGTTGGCTCAGGCGTTTTTCGCAGCCGCTCTGAGGCAACCAGTTCAACTTCAGCGAGCGCGCGGCCCAGTCCAAGAACGCCATGCTGCGGGAGCGAGGGTGGACCACTGAGCCGCCCCCCACCACCAGGACAGAAGGGGCCCAAGGGCCATGGGCCCTTGGGATCCCTTGGGCCTGGTTTTCGATCGGGAATGCTTGACCCGGAAGGGGGAAACCCCTCAAGCCAATGCCAAGGGGCATGGCTTATAGATCCCATAGGGATCATTCCCTCATTCCCTGAGAAGCCGCAAGCTCAGGAAGGGAAGCCAGCGAAAGGAGTCTGAGCGGCCTGGTAAGTTGGAATTCTGCCCGCCCGATAGACAAATCTTGGTGGTTCTAGGGGTAGCCTTGTCTAGAAACTGGAATGGCTTGGGCTTGACGGGGTTGACCAAAGCTAATATACCCAGGCGCAGAAAAAATGCGGTTGAAAGCCCATTTCGAAGCTTCTATGCCAGGAGCTGCATATGGCCGCCCAGGGCGTGTGATGTTCTGTTTGGACTCTCTTTTTCATCGTAGAACCCAGGCACGTGTGCTAACATCAGTTGAAGTGTCACGCCAGGCGCTAGGCCAGTTTTCCCATGCAATACGCTGTTTGGGCGTGAGGTGAGTTGGAGGGGCATTGCTCGAGGTGGCCACGTGGTCTCAATCCATTGGAACGCTGGCAGGAACTCGGGCACGGTCACCCAATGGGAGATCTTTGACCAGTACATGGCAGACATCGAGGCTGCAAAGGACTGGCCGGGAACTGTCACGCACCATCGTCTCAAATCAGGGACCAGTGGTTGGTTTCATTTTGGCTCCCCTGCAACACCATCCAAAAAGGGGTCCCCTATGCTGATTGGTCAACCATGTCAGGTGGCGAGGTATCAGCAGGTGCTGATGTTTGATTCGCGATGCCTTTTCAAAATTGCGAAATACGTCATCCAGCGAGGTCAGAAATCCTTGAGTATGCTCGACGAGCAAGATGGTAAAGCAAATTTGCAATGCCAAGCTCCTCTACAATTGTACCTCAGGTGGGCTCCAAAGCATCAGCAAGGCTGATGCCTTCTGAGGATGTTTTCTATTGTAAAGTTGGCTTCTTCAAGCACTCCGCGGTAGAGAAAGTGCATGTGACTCGTGATTCTGAAAAGCTTCGATACCTTCCGATGCGAGGTTGGCGCATGGGTAAGGTGCATGCGTGACTAGAGCGCTGGAAAAGAGGCGCGAACAGCGTGTGACGCGCTTGCCTTGTCTAGGAGAAAGAGAAGGAGGCAACTTGGCTCTCACTTGGAATTTGGCTGGGAAAGGAGGTGGCGCATGCCATATTTTTTTTGTTGAACCGTCCTTGCAAGAGTGGTTTCAATCTATATTGGCCAAGATTCAGGTTGCTTATTTGGCAATGAGCCAAGGACAAGAAGCTGGGCAAGTCCGCTTACGACGACGTCTCCGAGAAAAAGAAGAAGTCGGACTCGGACCCGACCTACTCGGAGAACATGAAACTGTCCATCAAGATTATGGAACGTGCCCTGACAATCAAGTGCACGGCCGTGGAAAGTACTGTTCTTGGGGCACTCCTCGTGATGTCAAAGGACTTTGAATTGATAGCGCAGTCATGAGAATGATAACCATGTTGGTATTAGAGAAAGGCTGATTTCCACAGCCATGATGATGTGCCTGTGAAACTTGAGGGCCCAATGTGCTAGAGGGTCGAGGGTGCAGTGATGTACAGTGCCCACCTAAAGAGCCACCACGATTTTGCCAACAGCAAGTTCAAATTGAGAAGCGAGCAGTCAAGAATTCAATGGTTGAGTGCTTCAGGTTCACTGCTGTGATAGCATTGGGCACAATGGTCATGTGCATTGCCCAGTAGGCCTTGTCAACTACCAAGTCCCTGACAAACTAGGCACGCTCCCAGGCCTGGTTGGCCAACAAGACACATCCCAGCCCAATCCGGCCATGGCATTCGTTGGAACACAAGCTGACTCATGATTCTCTGGCAGTGTAACAATTCAGGTGGGGGCAAAACATGAGAGGTGCTTTTCCTGGCTTCAGGCATGGTCAACCAGAACGCAGAGAACGAGGTTTACCATGACTTCAAGTACTGGGAGGACCGCAGCGACGAGTTTCGGGACGGCCGCTCGGCAAGACCAAGTGTAGCTTCAGGCAGGGTGCTTTGTGACTACCCCAGGGTAGACTTAAACCCAGTGGTTCATCCCCCCAAAAGGAGAACCGCTGGGTTTAAGTCTATCTTGGAGTAGCCAAAAAGTGGAACCCTGCCTTCAGGAATCCACCAGAGCTGGCTTCAGCCTCATTTCCGCCGATTCCCTGATCTCACTTGTACTTGTGGCAGGCCTTTCCATCGCTGCCTTCCAGAAACCTTTGTGAATTCCAAGCGACCAAAAGTCACGAGCCTTAGGCCTCCAAGTTTTTAGATTCTTGCCTGGCCTCTAGCTTTCGTTTGTTTCCTGGCGCATTTTATGTTTGATAGTCCACCCAAATTTTGTGCCACGGGAACTATGGCCAGAACCAATCGGGGGCAATGGCTCAGGCGAGGGCACGCTGCTCCCCTTGTGGCGCTTTTCATCGGAGAAGGCCAAGAAGAAGCAGGCGAATCGGAGTCCCCACTTGGCGAATCCGCCAGCTGAATGAAGCCTGACGGGGGTCTTAGGAAGACATTGTGTTTCTCTGAAACTTATTAGGCTTGGAAGACATGTTGTTTCTCGGAAAGTGAGGTGGGAGGGATAGGCTGAAGCATCAAACTAGAGGGCACCAACCGACAGGATGCTGAAGATACCGAACACATGAAGTCGGTAGATCTGCAGCTGCTTGTTTGCAGCTCAACAGGAGTGCAGAGTCAGCCTAGATGATGCTTGTGTGTTTGGTTATTTCCCGTGTTTGAGAATATGCCGGAAATGCAAAGCCTCCGCCAGCTGGGTGCCCGGATGCAAACATCTGCAAACCGTCTCCGCGATTCGTGCCAGGTGACGTGCATCAAGTGGAACCCCCACTACAGTGACCTTTGCGCAGTGGGCTTCGGCTCGTATGACTTCATGCGGCAAGGCACCGGGGTCATTTGCAGCTCGGCTTGTCCTTTGTGTCCAAGCCGGCAGGATGCCGGCAGGTTGCAGGAGAGTCCTTGTCGCAAGCCCACACCCCCAAGCTTCCGAGTGGCAGTGCCTTCCGGAGAGCCGCAGTGAGTTGTTTTCTTCTTCGCGAATGGTGGGTGTAGGATTGCTTCCGTTTGGCCTGTATTAGGCTTCTCTGATGAGCAGGGCAATAAGGGTCGTCTTGAATTCAAGAAGATCATGGGTACTGGCTAGCATGCTTGTCCTCATGTAACATCTGACCTCAGATTCTCCTGGTTTCTGGCAGTGGCCCCAGAAGCCCCTTTTTCCTTAGGAGGGACCTTAATTTTCCAAATTAAAACGCTTCCAACCCCTAGCGTTTGACCTCGTTTTGGAATCTTGTAAAAGGACCACATATATGAAGCGCGGTCAGAATTTACGGAAAAGGAAAGTAGTCTACACTTGAACATCCATATAGCTCAAGGTGCTTGAAACCATGGAAAACGATAGGGGGCTCTCAAAAAACGATACCTTTGTGTTACAGACCAAATGCTGGAAAACGATAGGGGACTCTCTAAATTCGAACGTACTTACCATGAACAGCAAATTTTGACGGAACTTCATATGCACAGTCGTATCTACCCAATCAAGAAACTTGACTGTGACCAGATGCCATTTGAGGCTGCTACTCCTTGAAGAACACCCGCTTCCCGGAGTATGTCTTCAACACTGACGCAGGAGTTTGCTCATTGGACGCCAGGCGGCAGAAACAGTGGAAGAAATGGAAATACTTCAAGGGCCAGTGTACTTAGTGGGTGGTTAGTAAGCCTGGTTATAACCGCACTTAGGAGACTTATAAGCAGATATTCCGTCTTCCACGCTGATCTCCAGTATGTAATGGATCAATGGCTGACACTTCTCGAAGCAGCACTTGGTCAAGATCCTACCTTTGGGTATGGTTTCACACAATTCAGAAGCGGCTCGTTGCCAAGCCAAGGCAGGAGCAAGAACAGGGGCCTATTCTGAAGCGAGGCACCGCTTTCGTAGCTGCCAGGAGGACTTCCGGGCTGGGTTCTTGTGCTAAGGACTGGCATCCAGCTCACCCGGCAGTGCTAGCAGTCGGCCTCTACGATGGCACCGTCTTGGTGTATGACGTGCGTGCCCGCACGAAGAAGCCGATCTACCAGAGCACAGTGCGAACCAACAAGCACACAGACCCAGTTTGGGAGGCGAGCTTGGGTGGCCAAACGGGCATTGGGTCGGCGAGCACGAGAGGCATGCCTGGGAAGGCTGGCCATTTGTTCAGCATTTTGGAGGATGGGCCCTGTTTGATCGGCACTCGTTCGACCGACATCAGGACCTCTGCCAAAACTCCTATCGCAGCTCACAACGTTTGTGGAGCTCCATGGTGAAAGCGGCCATCCAAACCCCCACATCTGAAATCCAGTGACATGAAGCTCCCCTTGGGTTGCATCTCTGAACATGTATCTTAGAGCACGCAGCAGTTGTACTTAGCTTGCTTCAGCCCCCTCTGGACGTGAAATCGGATGCAAAACTGTTGCCCTTCACAAGCGAAGATATACTTGGGTATACTTGGGTAGCAACGGTTGCAGAAGGTCTTTAGTGTTGATGTGTGTTGATGTTGACTGTCTTTTCGCGGAAGCCCATGTAAATACTTGGGATACTGGGATGTTCTTCGGATTCTTCGCCAACACCGTTGTATATACACCACTGGATTTGCTGATAGCAAATCTCATGCCGCTGGTTGAACCTGGCTGACACCTTCTCTAAAGTTGTGCCAGGTGCGTTGGAACAACGACGAGTCTACAGGAGCCTTGAACTTCTACTCCATCTCATCCGATGGGCGGGTATCCACCTGGCTCCTCGGGGAGCAACCGAGGAACTTGGGCTTCCTTTAATGGAAAGCTGAGGATCCCCGAAGTCGCTGTTGGCCCAAAGGACATTTCAAGCGAGGCATTCGGAACTCAACTTTTGACTTTTGCAGGTGGACTTCAACGCTGTCACTCGCAGATGTCAAATTGTGGCACTGGTGCGTGCTGCTATTTGAGGGCATAAATCGACCTTCCCTTTGCGAGATCCGGTTTCGCTTTGCTGGCTTTGTGGCGGGGTCCTTTCTTGTGCGAGCAAAGGGCTGCGCACATCTAATGATCGGTGCCATGCCCCCGCCAGGCAGAAGTCTGCTGGAAGCAGTGGGCAGACAGAAACGTAGAAGCCAACGTCTAGCATTCTCGGCCTTTTCTGTAGTGGTTCCGGTGGGAAGTGTCATGCGATTTGTGCGTATCCAATGCAACCATGTTATGGTATGTTATGGTTACCGCTTGGCTTGGTAAGGTTCCTGCTGAAGAACAAGCTTGAGAGCGAGGAGGTGATGGAGCTGCAACTTGGCGAGGTGATGGAGCTTGCGCTGCGGCAAATTCGGTTTTCCGAGTTCAAGGTGTGATCTTCCCCCACGTGATTTGCTTCAGTGAGAAACGGGCGGGCTCAATTAGTTTTGGTTCTGTAGGATGGGCTGACGAGCCTGAGCAATGTGTTTGAGCGGTTGAGCTGTGCAAGGAGAGATTTGTTTTTCCCCATGAGTACTGCTCTTCCAAGCTAAATGCCTCTTCATGATTTCTGGTTGGCCTCAAGTGGTCTTAGTGGGCCTCCCACTTGCCCCCCATCTGAAGGTTTTTGTATTACTCCCTGGGATTACACCCTTGGGAAATGACCCAGAATGGTTCAAAATAACAATGTGTAATCCGGAGATGTGTCTAAATGGGGTCAATACGTGTATTCCCAGGGTGTGATACAAAAACTCTTAGATCCCGGGTTTTCCCCCTGTCTCAGGAAGCTTCTGGGTAGCCCTGGCACTGGTGAGGAGGATGAGACCTCGTTGGCAGGGCTCGCTGGTGGACTTTGCGCCCTGGCCGAGTTAACTTGGCCGCGCCAGCGCCGGCGCCGTGCCTTTCCGGTGGTCCGGGTCGCCTGAGACGGAAAGGATGTCCCAAAAGGGCTTACTAAATTCACCTCCACACCCCATCTCCACTCCAATTCCACCCCAACTCCACGACAACTCCACTCCAACTTCATTCCAATTACCCCAACTCCACACTTCCCCTCAACCACGTACAATGAGGCAAAGGCCTAAGGACTTGGGTCCCAAGCAGTGAGGTCCGACCCCTCAAGAAAGCGGTTTTCAGGAGATATGCTTCTAGTTTGAGTTGTAGCGACCTCAAGTTGACCCTACCCATTACCATCAGTTAGTTTCCAGGGATCCCGATTTTCCAGTTTGGTGGGCGAATCTTTGCCTCACTATCCAGAAATATCAAGCAGTGCAATTCTCGCGCCCCTGCTAGCTCCGGAAGCGGAAGGCGTCGGCTTCAGGTTTCGACTTCCACTCGCACAGCGACCACAGCCACCTCTTCCTGGTCGGTACCGAGGAGGGCCGCATCCACAAGTGCTCCAAGGCGGGCGGGCTGAAGCTAGCGCCCATGGCTTTAGCTGATGGGCGTCAGCTGTTTTTTTGTTTTGTTTCCGGGGGGGGGGCATGCTGAACCAAAAGAGGCGTTTGAGCTGAGCCGGGCACGCTCGCATTTTGGAGGACGGCTGCAACCATGGGGTGAGTTTGATCTTTCTCGTTGAAAGGCCCAGACAGCTTGGTGGCTCCCAGCCATCCTGTTAGCTTTTTAGCCTTTTGGTGTTTACTGGTAGTTTCCATTTAACCCACTAAAAGTTAAACTTTTAGCGGGGGATCTGAGGGCAGCCCAGAAAGCGTAAGGACATGAGACTGGCCACACAGGCCAGGCAGTTGCATGTTTATTTTGCCACAGCCAACTTTTTCAGTGGCGTTCGCCGTCGTGCGCAGCAAAGCAAAAGCCTAGAAAGGCCTTGAACTCGTTACGCTGCCCGCGTGTCCTCGGTCTCATGGTCTTGGAGCATGTGGATGGTTGCAAAATGTTGCGAATTCCATTTCGCACCACCTAAGGAATCCTGGTTTCTGATGATCCTCCCCTTAGACCAACAAACCTTATGATCCTTGTGGTTTCAAACATGCTTTCAAGGCGGGTGTTTGTTGTGAAGGAAAAACAGAACAGACAATGACATGGATTTCGTGATTTCGTCCACAGTCGAAACTGCTCGTGATCAATTACATAGCACGAGGCTTTCAGCGGGCAGTACCTCGAGACCTACGAGGGTCACACCATGGCGGTCTACAGCGTTCGCTGGAACCCGTGGCTGGGCGAAAGGAATCCAATCGCATCTTCCTGAAATCAACGTGCTTTTGAGTCTCCCATGTTAGTGTTTAATGGAATCTACTGGACATATTTTTGGTCGGGGACTTGAGCAAATGCAGGGCATGGGCAAATCCTTATAGATCGGGCTTGGGTACAAGGGCACGCTGCTTTTGAGCTGATTGGGTGGGAGTTCAACAAAACAAAACTGAATCAGGGAAAGACACAAGTTGACACAGTGGCTGTCTAAATCATGGAGCCTTTTGTTGGAACCTTGATTTTCCCTCCTGCCCCCTTTGAAAGCTCCTTGAAATGTCCTTAGCCATGGCTGGTACCACGGAACAAACACAGGGGAATGTTTCTGGACTGGCTGACCTCGTATGGGGCACTGTGTCCAATGTCCTCATATTTGCACGTGCCTTCCTGAGCAACTGACGGCTGCTTGTGCTCACCAAGCTGCCGGTTGGACAAAAGCTCTTGGGCTTGCCCGCTTACCGCTCAGTGCGCCGGAAGGTTGCAGAGAACCATCCTGGATTGGTTGTGCTCGAGTATGGGTGGCAGCCGGCCGAAACAAACTGCTGCCTTTTTCCAGCCCTAGCACTACGTACAGCTTTCAGAAGTACAGTTCCACCATCAGATGCAATACCCAACTCCCCCCCCCCGCCCCAGCAGCTCAACAAACGCTTGCTGAGCCCAGGTTCCACGAGAAGATATTCATCTCAGCCTCTGCCGACTGGACGGTGAAGCTTTGGAACCACGAGAGCCGTTTTGCCATCCTCTCGTTCGACCTTGCGCAGGACGGGCATTGACACGTGGCCATCGGGCGGACCTAAACGGTTCGATGCCAAACACTTGCATGAGCGACAGATGGGCTGAATAGCTTCGCGGAAGCTTGTAGGAAGTAAATGGCTTAAGAATCTCTTGAACTTGCTGGATAGCTTGGATGCATTGATTGGTTGGCGAGGTAGCGGGGATGCGGCAAAACTGCCCCTGAATTCTTGCTCAGCCGCTTGCATTCGTGCGAGCTGATCAGTTTCCATCCATCCAGCTAGCCAGCCAGCCAGCCAGCCATCCAGTTTGTTGGCTTTCCTTCCAAGCGGCTCCGGAGTGGCCATGACTACCAACAAAAGATGAACAAGAAGCAATCCATCCCACGCTGTAATCGTTGGCCACATGGTGGTAGGACACGGGGGCAAGCTGTTTGGCCAAAGATTGTTTCTCCATTGCCCGGGCATTTTTGTGGGCCATAGGTTTGAGCCACTGTTAAACAACCGCCTTAAGACAAACTAGTATTTAACGATGGCCATTACCACAAAGGTTCCAAACCACCAAACCACAGGGTAGTCTATCGGTCAGGTCTATTGGTAGTCTCAGCCTGAGTAGTTTTTACCCTCCCGTCCACTGATAACATATGGAACCCAGCCAACTCGCTTTGAGCGGACAAATGCGGAAAATGCTCCAAACCAGGACCTGCCAGTATCCATCCAACTCGCTGGCGGAAAATGGTCCAACCCACCCGTCGGGTTCCGTGTGAATTGGCCAGGCCATCGGTGACGTGGCCTGGGCGCCCTACAGCTCCACCACCTTCGCGGCCATCACCTCCGATGGCGCAGGGGGCTCCACCAGCGGGGTGGTGCACATCTACGCCTCTCGGCCGCATCGGACCTGGCAGGGGCAGGTTGCAACCTGCGTTTGTGTCTCACTTCTCCTGAGTTCATGGACTTTAAACACTTGTTGGGACCATAGTGGCAAACAAACAAGCTTGGACCTTGTTTAGCCCCCCATCAACTCAGGAAGTGAGCTGTGGTTTTGAGGGTAGCCTTTTTTTTGGGGGGGAAACCAAACGGCAAACCACCAGTTTTGGGGTCCCCCGATTTTTCCTCTGCGCATACCCACGTGTTCAAACAAGCAAGGCTCGCATATAAGAAGTCCATGTGCTGGAATTTATTCTTTTCGGGAAGCCAAAAGGATATTGTTTCCACGATGGTTCAGCCTCCCTTGAAAAGGGTTGTTTGGAGCCCGGTGGTTTGGTGGGCAGGGGGCGGAGAAAACCATTTTCCCTCTCGAAAAAGCCTCAATTCCCAACCACCAATCCAAACCGCAATTAGTGGGAAGCTGGATGCTTGAAACATATTTTGTGGGGTTAGCCCAACCCTCAAGAGCTGGAGGTTGTCCAGACTGTGTAGGAGCGTTGATGTACAGTTCTAGGCGCGAATTGGATGAAGGGATAGAGAATAAGCTTGAGCATTCGCAGGACCCTTTGTGCCCACTGATTAGTTATTCAAAGAAGCAAACAACAGCAGGCCCTTGAAAAGAGGGGGCAAGTCAAGGCATGTTGGCGGTCGGCCTTGCAGGCAGGCTTATGCTGTTGGCGAGGAAGGTCAGCGATCAGGTTGCAGTTGAGTCTGACACGGTAAAGGTGGCTTTGTAAGGATGAAGCGGCGGGGTGGATGCAGTTTGCTGATCTGATTTGCTTCACGCGTGCTCACGGAATTCAAAGTACTGTAGGCCTCATAAGGGGCGAAGGGCTCAGGAGCCCCAGTTGCGGCAAAGAAGCCAGGCTTGCAACCAAATGCTGAAGTCTCTGGCTCAGAAGTAGATCATGATGTTCCCAGACAATTCGGAGATTATACATCATAAGTTACCCCGAAGCAGTGCTGCAGCTTGCACCGGCACTCGCCAATTGCTGCAGGCAGTGTGGCCGTCATCATTGGCAGATAGTGTGTTACAGTTATTGTTGAGCACCTTTTGGACTGACAACGCGTTGCTATTCACAACCTGGGCAGGAAGGCGTGCAGGCCTGCAGTTGTTGTTCAGGACCTGTCGGTGAACCGCAACGAGCACATTTGTTCGCAGAAGGCTCGCTGGGCTTGAAATTGGCAAGCGCCATTCTATGTGCAGGGCTTGTGGTCTCTTCACGTTGGTGCTCTCTTTGGTAGATGGCCTTCAGAACCCAAATTCCATGAGTGTACAGGGTGGGTTCTCTCGGCCTCTCAGCAACCTAGAAAGGCTCCTTCTCTCAAGGTTACTCGACTTCGCTCAGGGCAAACAGGCTCTAGTAATTTTCCTTTCTAGGTCCTGGCGCAGTGTTCAATAATTGCTTCAGTGGTCTCCGGTGTTCGGAGCATGTTCCATCATTAGTGTCTGTAGCCGTCCACGTGCCTCCTCGTGCAATCCAATGTTCATTGCGTCTACAGCATCGTACAATATGGCCATGGGTCAAAATCCCACACCCCCAGTGAACATCCCAATCCCAACTAAAATAGGTTCTAAAAATGGGTGGCGAATTCACCTACCCCAAAATGGGATCCCATTGGTTTTGACCCACGGCCACACATGTTTATCAAGAGGTAACCACGGGTAGTAACCACGTCATGTACTTCTAGGTCCCCCAGTAGTGCCCTTTTGCCATTTTTTGGGGGAGGGTTCCCCTACTAAAATAGACTGCATAAACAAAAATGGGTACCAACTTATTCTAACCTCTCTACTGGAGGACCTAGACTCTGCATTCCGGGTCTCAAGAAGGAGACCCACAGGTGGTGAAGCGGGCGAAGCTTACGCACGTCGCCTTCAGCAGCTCAGAACCCATCATCATCGTGGGGGATGACCGCGGTGGAGCTACTCGTTTGCCAGGGGCCGCACCAGGCGTTCAGCAGTCTCCTTCCTGCGTTTCAGCCCCCAAGTGGAGGGAAAACGGCCCTGGCTGCCTCCTGTAGTTGCTGACTTGTTTACCGGAAGTACAACTCGGGATTGGTATGTTGGGATAGTGTTGGAACATTTAGGTTGGTCATTACATTCCAAGTGATATGTCCAGCAATCTCCTTCCTTTTTCAGCACCCATGTGGAAACGGCCCTGGCTGCCTTCTGTAGCTGCTGACTTTGCCCCGAACGGTCAAGATCATGGGGCCAGGCAGGGGTATGGTAGGGGCTGACCTAACCCCATGTAAATAGGGGAATCTCCCGCATTGAAGTTCAGGGTTTGGCTCGGATGCTAGATGGCTGCCCATTTTGGGAAGACTTTGGTTGGAATTGCATGCTTGGGTATTCGGCAAACAAGCCTATGTGATGATTGCGCATGTGCAAGTACTGTGACATTCAGCGTTTTCTATTTGTGCCTGCGTTGCATTGCCGCCTGTATTGCGTTGGCACGGGGAAACTCGTTGAAAACTAAGCGAACAGGTGGTGTGCTTGCGTTGCGAATTCGGGAACATGTAAACGCATTAGGCACAATAGCATCGGTTACAAACAAAGCGATCACGGCATCACGAGTTTCATTTCAGACAGCTTGTCCTTGGTGCAAGGCGCCGCATGACTCGCATGCCCCGCTTATGTCACGTCAGCTATGTCCAAAAGCCTGGGAGTTCGTTGAGTGGGCAAGCAGAATTCGATGCCTTGGGGTGGGGCCTTTGAGGTGAACACCCTCAAGCTGTCGCCCAACCTGCGAATTGGCGTGGTCAGGCCAGGTTTTGATTTGTTGCCCTCCGACCCTTTGGGCTTGCCAACCTGCTGATCACACGCAAGTGGAACGCTCAACCTGTGAGTCGCCGCGCAACTTGCAACCAGCTCGCAAGCAGTGCAGTGTTTGTGATTGAACCCGGGGCCACACGAGGGCTACTGGTCAGTTTGTTATTTCACACGCAATTCCAGCAACACTTCAAAAACACGTTTGCCGAGTACTGAATGTAGGTGGGGTGGTTCAGCAGCTTAAGGAGGTCAACGCCCTGCTTTGTCCCGATTGCAAAAGGTGGAGCTCAGGCTATTCGGATTGGTGCACGTGGCCGTAGCGAGCGCGGCAGGACGGAGGACACCGATCCGGCTCTGACGGACATGGACTTGCAACTGCAGAAGATGGAGCACTTGCTGCTCGGACATGAAACCCTTTTATTGTGGGAGCCCGAAAGCTTCTTCGCAGACTGTGCACAAGCCATTTGAACATATTTTTATTTATTATTTTCTTTTTTTTTTGAAAGGGAGTCAGTACTCTACCAGCACTTGAGCTCTCTTGGCTACCTCTCTTGCCTCAAAGGTGGATTGAGTGCACCACCATTGGTTTCTGCCTTGCTAATTACGAGAGATTTTGAACATGCATAGTGTTGACCCCAGATCAATAATTCCGTCCGCCTAATGGGGGTGTTCCCGTCCAGAAGTAGAGAACCCCCACCAAAATCAATCAACTAGGGGTTATGCTTGGATCCGGGTTTCCATTACTGTTGGTTGGGACTGCTCGACCTTCCTTCGGCATCTCCTTGCCGCGGCCAACTTCTAGCGACTATGTTGTTGCCGTGTATATCGCTGAAACGCTTTCGCTTAATCTCACATAGGCCGTCTGCTGTCTCAAGAATGCTAAAAGGGATGCGTGGCAGGATCATGAACCGAGGCTAGAGATGGTCACGGAGACCAAGACCACCTGAGCATGCAATATCCAAACGGATGCTGCGCCTGCTTCGGCCATGTGTAGCGTACAGGGTTTCCTTGCAGGACACTTGCCGATCTCAGAATTTGCCTGCAATGCCAGTGGCAAAAGGAGTGTATGCTGGGGATATGGTGGGCTTGGAATCGCCAGATTTCGGCCAGACAGGCCACTGTGATGGTGGTTTGTTTTGCTTGGGGTGGTTGCTAAGTAAGAAAAGGGACCTCATACAGAACATGGAAAGGAGTACACGGGCCATGCCAGATTGTAGGCCCTACCTCACCTTTCACGGCTCCTTCATGCTGTCACGTTGAAGTCCTTTGACGCATTGCGAACCTTGCACCGCACATGGAGGGCCAGACGGCTACATAGATATTTGTTTCTTTTTTGCATAGCTACATTCTGCAAATTCCGGGCTGCATGTCGGTGAGGCCGCAGTCATGCAGCAGTTGTTGTGCCTATGGGTTGATCGGCAGGTGGCCAAGGACCTGTGCGACCCTCAGCCAAGCTGAACGAAGAAAACGGTCGCCATTGTCAGAAGACCTGTGACAGAGCCGCAATGAAATAATTTGACTGTCGCCATTCGACTCCGTGGGCCCGACAAACTGCTCCTCTCTGCTGGAGAGTGCCTCGCATCAGGGTTTCGCCCCATGCAAAGCTAGGTTTTGGCTTCCTTCCTTGGTTTTGTTTTCTTGCAGGGGGTGTCATGCATTTGTCCGTTCAGGAATGTCAGGGCCTGCTAGGGGCAGTGACACGCGTTGTAATTGAGACTGGGCCGGCCGATGGGCAAACTTACACGCACAATGGTACATCCGCATAGCATAGCGCCGCTGAAGACTAGGCCAGTTGAATGGTCTCAAAAGAGCAGGTTGACACCCAGCTGAATGAGATCATTCAACTAGCCTGATGAAACTTGCATCGTAACATTAGGCGAGCAAAGCTTCCAGAGGCATGTTGAACCCCAGTGCCTTTCGCAAGGTTCCAGTTCCTGGCCGAGAAGAAAAACTGGTTTTGCCAGGACCCGGAGGCCGAGGCCAACTGGGAGGACCGAAAACCAACTCAAGCCGCGGGCAAATCGAAGTCGAATCGCCCCGTAGCTTTTTTCAAGCATCGACCCAGTTTTTGGTGCAGGCCAGGTGGGCAGGCCAGGTCGTTGGATGTTTTGTTGATATTTGTTTGCGCTTTGGTAGATACTTGGCATTCGCATCCGGTCCAAATGACCATAGGGCCATAGCCAAGTGACCGGAGTTGTGAGGTCTTGGTTCTGCCTCCCGATCGCAGGATATCCCAGTGGATGCTGTAGACTGAGCTCGTGCATCGATGTCAGCCTGCAAGATAAAGCCCCGGCTTGCAAAAAGCCGCCTTTTCCAGCCGACATTGAAAACCCCGTGCGCGAAGCGTGTAAAAGATATGTGCTTCTGTTACATTTGACCGTGGTGATTGGATGGAATGCCGTATATCCGATGTGCATGTTGCGGAGCAGGCTTGCTCAAAGAGCGAGCCCCCTCTGTGCTTGGAGTTTCACCACTAGCAGTCTGCTGCCATGCGCATTTCCCAAAGAATCAAAGTGGCGAGCAGAAATCAATCTAGCCATCAAAGCAGCACGCAGCTGACCAGAATAAGAACCACGATGTTAGATGCTAGTTGTTCCTCACACGCGTTGGCCAATTTCATGCTCTGACTTCAGATGGCAGACGCAGCACAGTGAAAACAAATCAGGTCGTATAGTCCGAGTCGTCCATGGCTCGGCAGCTCTGCCCAACCACGCATTGGCAACTGCCAGGATCGCCGTTTGGGCTGTAGGCAGCTTGCTTGTCCTAACTTCTTGTTTTGCAGGTGCCTTCACCACACCGGACCACTCTGCATGGCCAAGTTGCTCCAAACAAGCTGCATCCCCGGAATAAGCCATATCCCTATGTATCTATCTACATCTAGATTCTCACTGTATTTAATTTTGTATATGTTCAATTCTATACTTATATACTTATACTTATAAATACTTATATACTTGTATACTTGTATACTTATACACATGTGTAATATGTATATATGTATATATATATATCAGATACCGAGATGTGGTCCCCCAAGATCTACCATGTCAGTTCTGTGATGGCCTTATCCCTCCACCCCGAAGGCGCAGCCATCAAAGGTCCGAACAACTGGTGAGCATTGGCTTTGCAGTTCTGACGAAGCGACCGTATGCCATAAAGGCAGAAGGATGTCTGTGAACTTGGTGACGACCTGGAGCCCAGACATGCTTTCCATCCCCATCTTGGTTGTCCAGCAAATCATGTGTGTGTGTGTGTCTTCTCAGTGTTTTGCCAGCCGCAACTTCTAAGATATGCTGCAAACGCGTGTTGTCGACACATTTTGAGAAAGTGAATTGCAACGTTAGAGCCCTCACCCCTCCTGCCGCAAGTTCGGAAAGCCGGAACTCTCGAAACCCATTCTCGCCAGCGCGAACGGGCGTCTGCATAAAAGCGAATTCAGAAGAACCAGATATTTGCGCAGCACAGCGCTAAACTCCTTCCAGCCTGCCCCACCTGCCACAAGTTCATTTGGTCCCGTTCCTAGAGGCGAGCATCAAGCAAATCCCGACGCCGTTTTGGCCCTACATAGCACGCTCGTTTTTGCAAGCAGGTTTGCAGCGCACAAATGGAAAAGCCAGGTTGCCATGTTAAATCCCCGCCAATGTCACCCCTTTCTAAGCCGACGCAGCTTTGACAAACTAACGCTGATCAATGAGTTGCAGTCTTTGGGCATCAAACAGGTTCTCTCTAAGGTATTCGAAGAGGCCGGTCAGCCTAGTTTTGGCGCCGCTGTTCTGTTTGGCCGTAGCCTGTGAACGGGACAGGTTGCCACTTGCTGCTCGGACAGCCTTGCTGTGAGGGCATCAAAGACATGAGTGGGGCCTTTCAAGGTGTGCAGGGTCCACTCAATTGAACAGGATCTGGCTTGCGACCAGCGGTGTGCCCCCAAGCGTTTGGCTTCAATCGACTACAGTGGACATTTGTGTGTTTACAGCGCATTTCAAGTGGCAATGTGAAGCTTTCCCCGAACCGTTGATGGTTGCATCGAGTCTTGCCCGGACCCCCTGCAGTTTTTACTGGTTGAGTCAGTGGCTCCGTTTCCCGACTCGCGGCGCCGTCCGCAAGGCAGGGCGTTGGCAAGTGGCGTTTCTGTTTTTTTTTTTGGGGGGGGCGGTGACCTTGTGGCAGTTTGTCAGACGTCAGGCAACCCCTAATTGATGGTTTGGATTGGAGGTTTGGGGATCTTGTAGAGGGGAAATGGGAAACGCTTCCTTGACCACCAAACCACCGATCCAAACCACCAATTAAAGGGAAGCAGAGTTTTGGGAAGAGTTTTTGGATCAAATTGCGCTCAAAAAGGAAGCAACAAGGAAGCTGGTCGTTGGTTCTTCAATCATGAGACAAACCCAAGCAGATGGATGCTGAAAGCTCTTGAATTTCTCTCCCATCAAATGGCACATTTGCTGTTGATACAATACCAGAGTTTGAGGGTTTAGGGGGTGGAACACGGAGTCGCCACTGGCAGCAGCAGGTGTTTTGTTTTACACGCGCTTGTTGAGGAGGCGGTTCACAATGTTTAGAGCAGTTGGATCATTTGGCTGGTTTTATGTTGGCGGGTGGAGGTCTTCTTTGGGTTTGGTTTGTGCTTTGCCATCCGCCAATCGTCAAAGCCGGTATGCTTGGAAGCAACAATGCTGGGTTTGGCGCGGACTCCAGATAAAGGGCCCGGGAACCTTTTGGCGCTCTGCCGCAAAATGTCCAAAGGAGGGCACGATTTTCTTGCGATTTGTGGCCAATATGCCTCTCTAACGCTGAGATGAGACGTCCCGAGGCATGGAAAGGTGATGTAAGGTGTGCATTCCTTTCCCTTCTGAGCTTGGGCCCAGCCTGTGCGGCCATGGACTCGTTCCAATGCGGCTGTGCCAGGATCAAATCTAAGCCCGACCAGGCACATGCTGCGGGACATGACGCCAACTGATTCACAAGAGCGCGCGAACCAGACTCACACACAGCGAATATACACACACATATATATATATATATACTGGGAAGAAAGTGCCTACTGCGCTGCTTCCTTCTTTGCCATGGCCTGAAGCGCACTTTGTGCACCTTGGGCCGGTAGTTCGATGGTGCGTTTGCTGGTATTGAGCTTGCTTGGCCTGGCATCGGCGTTCTGCCGCAAGGCGGTGCTTTGTGCATGTGGCTATGAATTTTCATGGAGGAACATGTCCAAAATGGTTGGTGGACATATATCCCCAAATGATGTCCACCAAAGGGACCCGAATCAAAATTCACACCCATTTCACTTGGCTGAATCATTGGCACGCTCTTTGCGGGCGCATTGGGAGACCTTCCGTGACGCTAGGCGGTGGACAGGGAAAAGCTGAAGCGAATTAGCGCCTTGGCCGGGCGCTGGCAAACCTTTCAAGAGCCTGATGACGTGAGCATTTGTGAGGAAAAACGGGCATTCATACTAGCCGCAGAGCTTGTCGCATGGACCTGCAACGCGTCGCACCTGCAAGTTGTTCCAGTTCTGGAGGTCAAACCAAACTGCACGGTGAGCCCCAGCTCGCGCCAACAGAAAACAAGCCACCGGGGCTCGCTAAAAGGGATCGACGCAAAAAGGGATCCACGTCAGCGCGGCGCGCGTTCGCTCAGCGCGGCGCACTTGAGGTGCGGGAGGCCGGGAGTGGAGCTTCAAATTGGCCTATGGCAGCTGGAGCTCGCCGGGGCCTCCGGCCCACGTGCTGCGCTTGTTGCTGGAGGAGGAGATGCAGCTCGCGAGATGGGGAAGACCGGAATTTTTCGGGGAGACGGGGGCGGCTGGAGGTCAAAACCGAAAGGATGCCAAAAGCCCAAAAAGCATGTCAGTATGGTTTGGTTCAGTTTGTGACAGCCAGCGATCGGTCTTCATCTAAGAAACGCAAGGTGGCGAATAAAGTTTTAGAGTGGCTTTCCCTGCTTAAGACCCCTCTTCACCGTCAAGGACGGGGTTGTTGTTGTTGTTGTTGTTGTTGTTGTTGTTGTTGTTGTTGTTGTTGTTGTTGTTGTTGCTGTTGCTGTTGCTGTTGCTGTTGCTGTTGCTGTTGCTGTTGCTGTTGCTGTTGCTGTTGCTGCTGCTGCTGCTGTTGTGGTTGTGGTTGTGGTTGTGGTTGTGGTTGTGGTTGTGGTTGTGGTTGTGTTGCTGTTGCTGTTGCTGTTGCTGTTGCTGTTGCTGTTGCTGTTGCTGTTGCTGTTGCTGTTGCTGTTGCTGTTGCTGTTGTTGTTGTTGTTGTTGTTGTTGTTGTTGTTGTTGTTGTTGTTGTTGTTGTTGTTGTTGTTGTTGTTGTTGTTGTTGTTGTTGTTGTTGTTGTTGTTGTTGTTGTTGTTGTTGTTGTTGTTTTTGTTTGTTGGTTGTTTTTTTGTTTTGGCAGGGGGGGTACCCGTTTGGGGGGCCGGTTGGGCTTCCTCATGCTTCCTCATTAATCCGGCCTCTCCATCTGGCATTTTTTCCAGTGCTGGAGGGGATTCTGGCCTTTGCTCTGGAAGGCCTGGCCTTGGAAGTATGAGAGCATGTAGAAGTTAAGCAGCACTAGCCTTGTTCATATCTTGCTTCAAGGGTTTGTAAGATGCATTTTTGTGGAATAATTGCAGAGCTGGTGAAGGACAACCCAGCTTATGAGGTTTCTTGAAAGAATAGGGCCAGGAGCAAGGACAGTCAATCAGGGGGTTCAGTCGTGAGATATTATAGTTGTCCTACCTGCCACCCGCGTCACAGATCTCATGCTGCATTCAAGTTGAACATGGTATGAGATTAGCGGTCGTATGCAACACGTCATCAACATGAGCCAGAAATGTCATGGGGCCATTTTGCCATTGTACTGTGCCTTTCTGCAAAATCGTTCTTGCTTGGAAGCTGCCATTGAGCCTATGAAGATCGTGGACAAGAGGTCAGCGAGGCGCAGGCGGCACAGCTTCGTCGGGGTCAGGAGGCGGGTGAACGTGCACTCCCTGCATGGCTTTGGGCACTGGGGAGGAGACGATCATGTTGAACACGACGGCCAGTACACTGATATTCCCCGCTGCCAAATGCCCCCGAGCATCCGCAGGGTGCCCCAGTTATGGGTGCCTTGGCGGCGGTCGGGGGGAGCTGTGCTGGCCGACAACCCGAAGGACAAGATACCAGCACCGACTACAAGAAAGGCGCGCTGGACAGGCAGAAGTTCTGGGCGCACGCGCTGATTCTTGCAGGTTGTGAGCGAGCCCCGGGAACCAATGGACCAAGGACAGGCTGGAGTTCTACAAGCGGGAGGAAGCGCTGCAATGCTGACGGGGGCGTTGTGTGTTCCGAGTAGACCAGCCAGCCCAAATTGCAGGGAAGGGCTGGTGGTTTGGACTCCGCTTGGGGTGGCTGCCAGGCGCCTGTGGTGTTGGGTGTTTTGAGCGCTTGGATGTCTATGGTTCTTGGCAGATCAGACGCCAGGGCCAAGGGCAGTGGCGCGATCTGCTTTGCTGCTTCATGAATCCCAATGTGGGGTTCAACAATCGATCGGTTTGTGCAGTCTGAAGGATGTTTCGGTCCACTCTGTGGATGCTGCTTGGTGTGCGCAGGTGGGGCCAGCAACTGGCCAGGTAGCATGGTGCCTGGGTAAGAAGGATAGCAGTAGCAGTGCGGAGCACAGCCAGCTCACAATGTCTGCCACATCCAAGCAGCCCATTACACGAATAAAGCACCCAGTATACATATGAATGTATGGTTAGTATGAATCAGCTGTAGGTGAGCCCAAGGCACGGCTTGCCAAGTCTTGCCCAAACTTCGCAAGGCAAGTGCACGTGACCCTGACACGGATGTCATCAAGCGCGGAGATGCTGAAGCACGTGCGGCTCGTTTGCAGTCCTGAGACGCATGCCCTTTGCGGGATATGAGGTTAATTCGTTCCCCCACTCCCTATATTACAATGCCCCAGCCTTCCTGTTGAATGGAAGGATTCAAAGATGTTACTCACCATCCTGACGTGCCAAAGTGCGATCCTCACAGTTTTTCTGGCTGTTAAAAGCCGGGGGCATTTGACGGAACACCAATGCTTTTCAGGAGAATACACGCATTTTTTGCTTCCAACCTGCAAAGGCAAGGATTGGGTCGTGGAATCCATCCAGCGCACTGCCAAGCAATGCTTGGTCTTGAATGCCGGTGCCTGGCTCCCATTGCACCGTTCTCTTTCCAATCCGGCCACGTTGCGAGGCTTGGGTGCACGGATGGTGATGGGAAGTTGTGGAGCAGTGATACGAATCCTGTGGAAGCTGAGTGCCGAGATGATCTACTGCAGGCGAGGAATTTCATAGGCTTGCCACGTCAGTGAGTCCGGCCTTTGCATGCATGAGTTAAAACATTGCTAGAGGTGCAGAGCCATGCTGCACGACTGCAAAGTTGGTGCGTCTCATCTTAGAATGGAGGCGGAATAACATTTGCTCAGCCTGCTTGGTCCTGTTTGATTGACGCCTTATCCCAAGTTGCTGCCTTCTCCATTTCACACTCAGCTCTCAGCGTTGTGTGCGGAAGCCGCTCACAGGAGCCGCCACTGGAAGCCTGGGCCGCAGTGGAGGTGTGGCGCACCACGAGCCAGAGCAAACTGCTGCTGCGCCCCGCCAATTTTTTGCTTACAGTGCCCCCGCCTACAGGCGAATCCCGTGAGGTACGGAGTGGTTGAATCAGGTTCTGACAGGTGAGGGGCGTGGAGCATTCCTTGATGCCACCGCCTTTGTTGCGAGGCACGCTGAATGTGCCATGCGAGTTGAAGCAGAAAGCTCGTCCCTTCAACTTGAGCGCCAGAGGAAACAACCTGCAAAACTCTGAGGGGTGTCACACCAACGCACCTTTTCCTTGCTGGTTTGATAGGCAGGTAATGAGTTGGAATGACCTCTATAAACAATCCCCTGTGGCTTCTTTTAAAACCAAAAGGTCAGATCCGGTCGGTTCGCTTTGAACAACCGACTCAACTGCCTCAACCGCGCCTTTTTCTTCCATTTGCTCAAATATATCTTTTGATTTTCCCTCCTTGGTTCTAAAGGAAATCTTTCACTTGGACATATATATGTCCAGGGGACTTCAGCAAGTGGAAGGTCTTGTTTGATTCATTTTTCTAGGGGTTGATTCCGCATTCTTTCCAACCATCGTTCTTTTCAAAAACCAGCTATTGTCCATGGGTTTCTGGAGGTTTTCTAGAAAGAAGGATCCCTAGAAAGAATGGAAATGGAAGGTACTCCTAGAGACATGGCTGTGGGTCAAAAATAAGTACCCAGAATGGCTTGCCTTAGTAAATGGAAACATGGACGAAAACCTGCGGTCCCCTAGAATTTTACCCCGGTGCTTAAGGCGCTGCCAAACCGAGGCGCCAGCTGGGTACAGGCCTCACCATGGGATACCAGACCTTCCCAGGCACTGGAGGTTTGTTTAGCGCCGTGGGTGTTCTGCTTGTTTGTTGGTTGACATGTGTGTCTGCTTTTGTGTTGGTTTGTTGGTTGGTTGGTTGGTTGGTTGGTTGGTTGGTTGGTTGGTTGGTTGGTTGGTTGGTTATGTTTTCGCTTAGTGATCCCACGCATGCCACAATTCCTTGCAGAGTGTGTGACTGAATGTATGTGAGTGAAAGAGGGAGGGAAGGGAGGGAGTGAGTGGGTGAGTTGGGGCCACGCATGCTGGACGCGTTGCTCTTTCGGTTTGTCAGGCCTTTATGCGCAGCAGACGGTCATTGACGAGGGCCTGCAGGGCAAAGTGCTGTTGCGATGGTGGGCTCCTTGGCCTCACGGATTGCTTCTATTTGCTTAAGAATATGTGTTATTTTCCCTTGGTTTTAAAGGGAATTTATGACTACTGGAAATATGTTTAATTTTCCAGGGGTCTTGACCACATGGATTGGTTCTTTGGACAGCGCCTTGCCGGGTGAGCTCCAGGGACAGGGAAACAGTACGCTAGGTTCGGGCTTGCTTGGTACCGGTAGAGACTCGCCAATATGGGCGTGGCTCAAAATTAAACGGCTGGGATTAAGCAGGTGTTAGTCTTTGGTTTCATTGGCCAAGGTGCCATGTTGCTACATTTTTGTGAGCCGCGGCCATCTTTGTTCTTGTGAAAGGGAGAAACTGAGCTTCTAACCATTGCCTTTTAGGGATGACCTTCAATTTTCCAGTGTTCATTCCCTTGAGGACTGTCGCTGGCCTTGCCGATCATGTTGCGTCTTGCCGATGCTCAAAGAACATTCCTTTGTGCCATGTTTTTTTTTTTTGTTTTTTTGTGAGGCGAAACTCGAATAGGGCTGTTGCAAGACCCATCAACAGCAAATGCGGAAGGCCAGCGAACCTGTTGAGGTTGCCAATGCATCCACACGACATAATCAATGCCTTTATCAATTTGGCGTGCTGGGTTTTATGCATGTGTGGAAGGACAAAGACGCCTGCATATGCTGAGATCAGGCAATGCAGCTTGCGTGAAACAATGCAGAACGTGCGAAGGACATCATCACAGCTAGATGCCAGCCGGCTTTGCAATTTGATTGAAGCCTTTGGTGTGAATGCTGAGCATATCAAGCAAGCTGCCAACCCCGTTGCACCCTTCCGGCAGGAAGCGAACAGACCCAGAGGCGTCAATGAGTGTGCATTCTGATGTTCATGATTCTCACAGACAATGGCTTAGGGGTCAGCCCTTGGATGCAACACATGCATGCAGCAGAGCAGAGAGAGGCCTTATGCGTGGTTGGCAGGAGGCGGCATGCGTTGATCATTTGACTGGTCGCCATTTGTAGTGTCATGTAGCATGCAAAGGTAGAAGGCGGTGTTGCGAGTCCCACTTGAAGACCGATGCCAGGTGAAGCAAGTCTTACCTTTAATTGATTTTGAGAGCTCGGAACCTGCAAGCCTCACTCAACAGAAAAGGAAACGCGGGTTGCTAGCCACCAGCGACTTCACACCGCTTGGTTTCACACTATTGGGTCGCAACTTGGTAGGTAAATTCTCAACCACGCGCAATGCCAGTAAGGTTTAGGTGCGGTCAGGCACCGGCAAGCACCCGACACGCAACATGAAGGCAAAACTTATCATCAAGCTGTCGGGACCGGCTCAGGAGAGCTACGCGAAGCACTTGGGCGCCGACCAATATTTCTCCTCGGTCAAGGAGCCTGGATGCGCATGTCCACAGTGAATATCAATGCTCCCACCTTGTCGTGTCGAGGGAACCTGGCTGTGACGGGCACGGACAAGCTCACATTGAAAGCACGGTTTAATAAACTTCCGTGGGGAGAGGAAGGGTCCTTTAACTTGCCATATGTGGCCTTGCAGTTGCATGGAGTTTGATTTCAATCCATGGATTTCTTTCAAAACATGCAAAAACGCCGGGAGGGGTGTAGCATCCCATGGCGCCCATTGTTCATTCAACGGGTCACTCGCGGCTTCGCGACTGAGGAGCTTGACCAGGCCATGTACAACCTGAGCTTTGCCGACCCTGGCTGCCCTGATGGTTGGTGCCCCCAGGGCACGATACGGCCGCGCTGCCCCTCGGCGCAGCGGATGGACCAGGTTGACCCCATATGAATCAACCCCGGTTTATTAATAGGGGGGGTTTCCCTCCAAATGTCATGATTCCCCACCAAACCCAGGACAGGGGCCCCCCTTATTAATCAACTGGGGTTGATGAATATGGGGTCAACGTTACTCGCAGCGATGCTGATTCTGCAACAGCTCGGAAGAAATTAGAGGCCCCCGTAAGATCCGCATTCAGCGCAGTGTTGGTAATTGCATCCCCGGGTTTTTTGAATGCACCACGTTTCTACCGCGAGTCTGGTTTGTACCTCATCTCTCTTGCGGCTCCTTTGCGGAGCCCTCCCAGTTGCACGAAAGGATCATCTAGAATCGTGTGACATGGCCTGCCTTGCCAGTTGAATGCGCTGGGCTATTGGCTGTGCTTTGGCGACAGGTTCTGACTGAATTTGTCAGCCGAGGTGATAGTTCGCTCAGCCCGCAGGAGATAGCCGTTATGGGAGAGCATGCAGATCAGTGCCTCTGACTGGATAAGAGGCTTCAAGAATCCTGATCAGCACTGTGAGCCCTGACCACCGACAGCACCTCAAAGCCAAGCCCACCCTAAAATCAATTACTTTGCTTTAACACTCAAAGGACACTTGTTCAGCTCACCCTCACACCAATTAACATCTGGCCAGGACCAGCGTCCACAGTCCTTTGCCCTCCGTTCCCTTCGCCTTGTCGGCATTGGGATTGCTTTGCGGCCAGCGCCGAGGTGCGACGGCGGCTGGTGGTATTCCCGGGCATGTACTGATCGCGATGTGTGCGTTCCAGCGGCTTGAAAGCACCGGGAGCATGAAGCCAGCGGCTTGAGCCCAGAATCGTTGGACTAGGTGTGTTCTATCCCGGTGACTTGCTGCCGGCTCTTTGGAGCTAATTTGGTGCAACATGTCTCTCGAATCAATGGTGAAAACCATGCGTGACGGGTGCAAACGCTAGAAGCAGCCGTTTTTGGAGTGGGGTGGATCCGGAGTTGCTTGGGGTTGCTTGGTAGCTTGAGCTCGGAAGCCCATCAATACCAAGCTAGCAGCTAGATACAGAACAACTACCCTCTACTCGTCATTTGCAGGGAAGATATGTTTGATATCAACCTCTTGCAGGCCACGCTTGTGGGTGCACTGTTCTTTATCGGAAAGAAACGCGGAGATACGGACAGTTGGGAAGCAATGCTGCTTATTCAATTTGCCGAAGGTGCACAGAAGTGAAGAGTCGGGTTGGACAGAAGTGAAACACCAGCAGAGTAGCAAACGGCCGGTCCTTGACATGTCCAACTCGCAAAATGTTGAGAACTAGGTTGGCGTATGTTGGCGTGCGCACTGAGGTGGTCTTGGGGGAGTTTGACTGGAACCTGTTTGTGTGGATCGAGGTCTTGCAGGACATGCCAGTTGCACTAACCTGGGTTGGCTGGCAGAACGAGGTCCAGCTGGTGAGGCGGTTGCCCGATTGTGGCTCGGTCTGGCGTATGCTGGGTGAGCAGGGCAGAGGCTCAGGTGAGCGGGGCAGCCAGAAGCGCGAAGCTGACGCTTTCTGAAACTCGAGAAAGGCTAACCCTCCCCCCCCCAAAAGAAAAAAAGGGGGATGGCCTGAATGATGGAGCCACTTCGGGTGTTAGACCATTGTTGGCAACTGTGTGGGCAACCTGGCAGAGTACAATTTGAGTCAGGTATTTCCTTTGGAGCACTTACTCTGATTTGAGAGTAGATGGCTCAACAAATGGGGGGGAGTGCCATCTACTATTGACAAACGGAGATTAGCAATTATCGGAAAATTATCGGATATGTTCTGGCCAGAGTAGATGGCACAACTCTTTCCGGTTTTCTGAACACCCGGCTTGGGTGGCTGTGGCCAGGGACTTTTTTTTCTCGCACGAATAGGGGTCATTGCTAGCCTTTTCTGAAAAGAAAGGGCTTTGAGCTGTGAACATGTCTCCGAAGCGAACTGCACTCATGGGAGGTTTCTCACTCTCAGCATGTTTTGTTCCTGTCCGACTGCGCTTCCACAATGGTTTCATTGGGGCTTGGAGGTGTAGGCAGTTCATGATGTTGTCAAGCTGATCTTTAATTTGACGGCTCCATCCCTCCTCTCGGGTCCTTCCAAGCTCGCGAGCTTCCGCCCGGAAAAGCAAGGAACCTGCACCGGGCTTGGTTTAGGGACCACATCGAAAACAGACATTCCCAGATCGAAGGCCTTTAGCTGGAAAGGGCTTAGATATTGAGATTAAAGCGGGCCCAAAAAAAGTCAGTGTGATTAAGGAGGCTGTTGTCAAGCACTCCCTTGGTGTGACTGATTGGCCTTGGTCTGAAATAAGAGGTTGATAAAAGAAGCAATATTTCCCAAATGCAAGTACGGCCTTTGGCGGTAAGGGCTTAGAAAAATAGCAATTGAAAGGACAGGGCTAAGGTGTTCATCTTGTATTTGTTCATTTCCTTTCCAACAAACAACAACCCCTTTCGAACCCCGAAACAGCCACAGGATTCTGAATTTTGAAATAGCACATGTTCCATAAAAGTGACCCTGGATCTAAAAGCAGGTCCAACATTGGTGTTTCTGCCAGTGGCCTGATGTTGCACAACTGGCTCGACAGCCTCCTGAAACGAAGAGAGGCAAATCAAAACAGAGCTAAGCAAGCAGCCAAGCTCCCTGCCCGCCAGCGAAATCAGCCAGCCAGCCAGCCAGCCAGCCAGCCAGCCAGCTCTTAAACAAGCGCGTTGAAACGCCAGTCATCATGCAACGCAGAGAAAGAAAAAAAAGCATATCACAGCTGAGGCCGCTTTCTTTTCTATTGGTGGAAACCTGATGTCACCTTCCTCAACCTTGATCCAGCTCCACCTGTGCCCCTTGGCAAAAGGGCCATGGCAAGCGGAAGCGGCTTGCCAGCAGACATTTCGCTGCAAGCGGGGCAGAAATGGGCGCTTGGGATGCAGAGAGGAGCGCCCGGGTGTGATCCGGGTTTGCTCCAGTGGGCTCCTGGCGTCTTTTTTGTGCTAAATTTCCAGGCGGAAGACAGCAGGGAATTCAGGCCGAGTGGCACTCCCTGTGAGACGAAGCTTGCTGTCTCTGAGGCAAGTCTTTTTCGACCCAGAGCTCAGCCTCCAGTGGGTGACCGCTCAACTCGTGAGGTGGCAACATTTGGACGAATTTGCTCCAGCACCTCGGATCATTGTTTTTTCTGCAGTCGTACTATCGCACCGTTCGCCGGAAACACTCCATTTTAGCTCTGGCTGAATAGCAGCGTATGGCTAGAGGGAAGGGAACCATCACCAAGCGGTTTGCTCACCCTTGCAATCGGGAGAGGCAGTTCCTTTGAGTCGAAGCATTTCAGGAGCCGCTGGCCCAAGTGAAGGTAATTGAAATTGACTCTCATGTTGGGTTTACCGTGCTGCAGGGAGCATGCCACTGCTTGGTGCCCTATTGCCGGCTTCTCCCAAATGCCAGTCACGTCACGTCACTGTGCTAGGAGATCGCCCGCTTTTTGCGTGACGCCACCTTCACGGATGACGACATGAGTTTCATGACGAGCCTTCGCACGCATGAAGGGCCTGGAAAGCAGGGCCTCACGCTTGGAAGAACCTTTTCGTTTGTGATCGTTACCAATGTTTCTGAGCATAACTTGCAGCTGAATCACATCATGTCGGCTTTTTCAATGAGGGGTAGCAGCCCAAAGTTGCACAGGATTCGGCGTCCCAAATCAGGTTGTTTCAGCCTTGGTTTGCCAGTAGCTTACCCAGCGCATCAGAGCAGTTATCGCCATGTGCAGCCAATTCGTTGCTTTTTGACTAGGCATGCCCTATTTGCAACTACTGCATGCATCCAAGCATCTTGAGGTCCTTGCTTGCACAGGGTGCAAGCGACGAGGAAGCAGCATGTGCCTGGCTGAAGAACAACACCAGGTATCTGGGAAACTCGGCTGCTTTTGGAGCGGTGTAAGTTGTGGATCTTGCATTGGCGTCAGGGTGATGCGATGTTCATTCGGGTGATGAGCATAAGAAGCCTTTGCCTAGCCAGCTTCAAGGAAGCAACCTGCATGCCGATGGCTGCAGGCTGGATCCACCAGTCTGAAGATGATGATACTCTTCTGATTGCCCTCCTGTCGGCTTCAATGGCTACGTGTGCGACTTGGACTGAGCGAGAGTCGGAGGGGCGACCCACTCATCCATCACTTGGCTCGTGAAATGCTCTGGAGAAAGCACAGTCTGAGAAGTGAATTGCTCCAGTCTTCGGGTGCAGCCAAGAGAGAACTCCGATTGCCAAAATATGCCAAAGCAACACATAGGAGGTATCCAAGCGGCTCCCACCCATTCCTAATTTGGACAGTGGGAAACTTGGAGCCTCTCTCTCAGTCAAATCCGCAGCGGCTCTGTGAACATTGCGCTTGTGTTCTCCCAGTCTTACTAGCTTTTGCCCGCCCAATTTTACCCACTTACTTTCACGCCGCATATGCAACTACTATCAGTGCTTGCCACCTGATTGTCTTCAGCTGGGAACGTGCCCCGGACGTACAGCCTTCATGGTGTCTTCAGAGGCTGGCATTCCAAAAAATCACTCACATTTTAGCCGTTCCTGCTTGCATGGAGTACTTTACCTGCTTTGCCGGCTTCCTCGGCAAAGTGCAAGCCTGGGCGGGCTTGTGCCTAGGAGTTCTTCAAAAGTCATTCTTGTGCCTCATTGACTGCAGGAGGGAGCAGTGACGACATAGATTTCCAAAAGGTGGGCGCAACAGAGTTTGGTACTTTCTAGTTTTCTGCCTGGCATGGCGTCCTTCCAGTCAGCTGACTGAGCTGGACACGGGCTAGGAATGATATTTGCATGGGCCGGCCCAACTGCGATTGGGGAGGAGGCTGCCCTATAACTTTGAAAGGTGGCAGGGCTTTGTTTTGGATAGGTTGCCCTGTGTTTCCCATGAATACATCACCCACACCAAGGGAAGCTCATCCGGAACTGGGTAAAACAGGTGATGTTTAGCACCCCACCATCCAAGACCACTATGCCATTTCCTTGGGTTCACAGCAATCCCATGTTTTTTTGTGCAGACCCCTTTCTTTCTAAAAGGGGGTCATGGTGATGCAGGCTGCGCTGGTCCTCTTGCTGGTGCTGACTTTCCGCGCCTCGCCTTGAGCAGCGATGGGGCTCGATCTCCTTTTTGTTTGCAGAGAAAGGTGGTTTGGAGTGGTGGTTTGGGGAATGGAACCCCTGGTTTTTGTGGAGGGCAAATGGGAAACCACCCTTCAACCACCAAACCATCAATCAAAGGGAAGTCAAGGTGACCCAGCCGTTCGGAAGCTCGAAGTTGAGTTGCTGGGGTTTGCTTTCCTCCTGGAAAACGTTGTGGTTGAACAAATGTATATATCTACAAATGGCTTGCACGGGCCGTGTTTTTTATGGCTGGCCTCGGGCTTGAAACACGAAATTGGAGGGAGATTTAGGGGTAAGCTTGCAGCCAGCTCCTTGCAGCAGGGTCGCCAGGCAGAACCCCCTTTGTGAGCCCAAGGGACATGATAAGTGACCTTGGCAAAATCAAGTTCCGTTCCTGCTCACCTGAGTTGATTCCATGGCGGCCAAGTTTATCTTTCATTCTGACTTCAGCCTCAGGTGGCTGGCTGTCCTGCCGCGACAGTCCCAGCGATCCGGCCACCCTTGTGGGCCAATGGACGCTGAAGTGGGCGGGCCCTCACGTTCAGGAGCTGGGCAGTGCATCCGCATACGGTATGGGATCACTGCAGTGGACAATGCTATGTGTTGTTTGTATCTGAATGTTCGGATGTCCTTTGCCGGAGCTCATGGAAAGCTTCCCTCTGGACATGCTGGTGCCATCAGATGTCACAACTGCTTGGCTTGCTTCCACTCTAACCCGCGGGTTCTGTCTGGTTTGGTGCTTCAGTATCGCAACATGTCAGCATAGGATGGTGTGAGGTGTCAGCAAAAAGGCCATTGGCATTGAGCATTTCGCTTCATTCGAGCCGCAGGCGCGGCTGGACCGCAAGCAGAGTCCTGCGGACAAACTGGCCTGGAAGTGCCAGAGCAGGCGGGAAGGGTCAAAGGGTCCAGGCATCTGCTTTGAAGAGACGAATCGGGCCGGCTGGCTTGAGTTGCAGTTTGGCCGACCTAGGCTTAGGTAAACATTGTAAGTCGGCGAGTCTACAGGAGTATCTTGTTTGTTTTACTGGTGCCTTCAGGTTCAGCAACACGCGCAATGCAGATGTTTCATGCATTGGCTGTCAGGGCTTCTGCTTTTGTGCTATCCTGGACGCTCTTCTTAAGAAGCTTAAGAAGTTCCGGCCATTTTCCTGGACGTGCACCCCTTTCATCCCGACATTGTGACATGGCACTTTCTTGAACAACCGGCCGGCTGCATGTTCTTAAGTTGATGCGTGATGGTCTGCCTAAAGTTCCATCATGCCTGCAAAGGGAAGGCTCATTTTGTTGGACGGGGTTGCGGTTGCCAGCCGGTCACCAGCTCGCAGTTGGCATTCAGCTGTGAGCCTTCGGACAGGCAGTGGCTGATCAACGCCTCACCCTTCGACATATTCTTCGACACTGATTCACATGGGCAGCTCGGAGCTTCGCTGGTTCGGAGGGTGGCCGAGCGGGAAACTCCAGACACAGCCTACATTCGTGCACGGCAACTTTCTAGGGTTTGATTCCCCATTCTTTTTAAACCATCGTTCTTTTCAACAACCGGCTGTTTCCCCTGGTTTTTTATGGTTTCCTGAAAAGAAGGATCCGGGAAGGTACCCCTACAAACTTTCTCCGTACCAAGCAAGCAGCTTTTGGGGGTCTGTGCTTGTTGCCTTGGTCTTTTTGAGCCCGCCGCTATTCTTAGCAACTGGCTCTGCATGGCAGGAGTCTTGCGTTTACAGACGCATGTGGCTGTGGCTCAAAAAATGTACCAAAATGGCACCTTGCTAGATGGAACCAAAGACTAAAACATGCGTAACCCTGGCTCTTCAATTTTGAGCCACACCCATGTATGGCCAGTCCAGTGAGTTCTGCAAGGAGGTTCAGAGCAATGGTCTCCGATTGGGGGTGGCCCAGCAGCACGTGCTCCACTTTCGGGTAATATGGCCTCACTGGTAATGATCCGTTCGAGCTTTGTCCTAGGGATGTCGATGCCCTGGATGCGGCCGGGTCCGTCATGTGTTTTCAGTGTTTTCAGTCTTTGTTTGTTTACTTGCTTTTTTTGTTTGTTTGTTGTTTCTTTCTTTATTTCTTTTGTTGTTTCTTTGTTTGTTTGCTTGCTTGTTTATTTGCTTGCTTGCTTGTCTGTTTGTAGTTGTTGCTTGCTTGCTTGCTTGCTTGCTTGCTTGCTTGCTTGCTTGCTTGCTTGCTTGCCTGCCTGCCTGCCTGCCTGCCTGCCTGCCTGCCTGCCTGCCTGCCTGCCTGCCTGCCTGCCTGCCTGCCTGCCTGCCTGCCTTCCTGCCTATGTGTTTGTGTGTTTGTATGTTTGTTTGTCTGTGTGCTTGTTACTTAGTTTGTTTCTTTGTGTTGTTTGGCTGGCTTGGTTTGTTGTTTTGTGGTTCGCTGTGTGTTTCTTGTGATTTGTTTGTGTGATGTGTTCTTTGGTTTGTCTGTTTGTTTGTTTGTTTGTTTGTTTGTTTGTTTGTTTGATTATTTGCTTACTTTTTTTGTTTGTGTGTTTCTTTGTGTGCTTGTGTTGTTGTTTGTGTTGTTTGTTTGGCTGTTCCCCAGCTAGCTGAAAGCTACGGGGGTTCCTTAAAGAGGGGACATTGATTTGCGAGATTGATGGACTGGTGCTACGGGGTGTGCAGTTTGGGGTGCTGTGTGAGGTGCTGGTGGCCGTACGGGCGCATGTTTTCAACATTGACGGTAGGGTGCTAGGGGGCATGCAGTTTGGGTTTCTGGTGCAGGTTCTGCTTTGGGGGTTTACGGTGCGCTCGCATTTTTGCATCTTGACGGTAGGGTGCAAGGGGACATGCAGTTTGAGGTGTGCTGTGGGGTGCTGTTGGAGGTACTAGTGACGGCGCGGGCGCATGTTTGCTCGATTGACGGCCGGGTGCTGTTTGGGGCGCTTTTCGGGGTCTGTTGGAGGTGCTGGTGTGCCATCATTGGCATGTTGTTTGCTATCTGAGGCCTATGCTGGTGTAATGTGTTTGTGTGCTTGCTTGTCTTTGGGCTGATTTTTGTCTATCCCCCTGATTATGTACACGTGAGTTCTTGCGTGTGTGTGTTCTTGCAGGGCGAGAGTGGGTGTGAGCGTGTTGGTGTGGGAATGTGTGAGGGTGTCACGTTGTGTGAGTGAGTGTTCGTGCGTGTGTTTGTGTGTGCATGCGCCCAGTCAGCGGATGTGTCTGTGTGTTTCTGCTTGTGTGTCTGTCTGTCTCTGTGTGCCTGTGTCCGTGTCTCTGTACATGCGCGTGTGTGTGTGTGTGTGTGTGTGTGTGGTGCGAGTGTGTTTGTGTAAACACCTTGCCAAAGCAACAAACATCTTTGCCCCATCTAGCCTGGTTGTGCTATGCAACCGCCTGCTGCGCAGCTGTACTTCAAGAACTCAGGTACCAGAAGAACATGCAGGATCGAGAAAACACATATCTTCACATTAGCCAGGTGCATCACACTGTTTGGTCCTGTGGGGTCCTTTGACTTGGCACCCATCACCGATGCACATCGGGCTCTCAGCGGCACTTGGGTCTTAGATTTACTTTAGCGACATCACACAATGAGAGCGTGAAACAGGATGCAGCGCCATGCGGCTTTGTCACATCCTGGCAGCGGAGCCTGCTGTTCTTCCCTCGATGATCCTCGGTGAGATGCTGACTCCTGAATACGAATCACCCCAGGGATCTTTCACCGACGCTGAGCCCAACGCCGAAGGCGACCGAGCTCACTGGCCAGATCATCATGGCCGAGCGGCCATACGCGCATTTTGGGCCACGGGCCGGGTATCACTCCGGCATACCGTCTTGGCAGCTCTGGCAGCGGGAGTGTCACATGCGCCTAGACCACCCGCGCCCTCGTTTGCTTCCTGCCTATGTGGCCACCGCATGGGTTTCCGGGGCTTCCAGACGTTTCGGCCTGTGTTCAGGCGGATGAGACCCAGGTATTGTTCAATGAAGGCTGGCTGCCTGAAGAGCGAGTTCAAGCTCGTGGCCATAAACATCCCGGAGGAGGTGTCCCTAAGAGGTTCCCAATCGCACGAGCACGGCCACCGCACCAAGCTGAACATGAATCGGAATGGGCCTGCCGAAGGTGCAAGTCCGTGGCGCGTGGATGTGCTCGACATGGGAGCCACAACGTGGACATCGTGCCGGAAGGCGACCGCAACACTGCTCAGGGGTGGCTATGATGATGCGGGTAGCTGTGGCAACGGTGGAACCGGAGACAGAGGAGGAAGAGAAGCCGGCCACCAAGGAGCGGAGGACGCGCGAAGAGCGCAAAGCATTGGACCGAGAGATACCTGGCGCCGACTAGCCTCGATGGTCGTCCTTCAAATTTGGCTCGGGCCTCACCAGTCAGGTGGAACTGGTCGCCTACTCCAACTCCAGCTGGGCCACTGCAAGAGCCAGATGGGCAATGGGGATCCTCATCAGATGAAGACTACGGTTGGATCCATGGACCGACTTGTGTGAACGAACTTCTCTTTCTGACTCAGGTGCTTTTCGGTGGCACTCACAAAGAGCCTCTTCTGAAGCACATGAGCGTAACCGACTGCAAGGGGCCTGTTTGACGCCAACGTTGGCGGCGAACCCGAACATGTCCGAGAAAGATGGTGAGATCCAGAAGGACCACCCGTGCTCAGATGACATCCGGTGGGCCCCCGCCGGGCTTGAGTGGGCAGATGGGCTCACAAAGATTATCTCAGAGCTGCGTGACCGCTTCAGACTCTGGTTGACATCACGTTGCGGGATGGGTGCCAAAAGTTAAAAGCACACCACACACACCCCGGTTGTACCGTTGAATGGTGGCTGCACAGACCAGAAGACAATATTGGTTTGTCTTGTAGTGGGCGTGACATTAATAGGAAGTGCTTGCCTTCGCTCAAACAGGCTCTGTTTGGACCAGGTTGAAGCGATTCTTGCAGATGCCCGTGAACCGTGAATGTGGCGGATGCCTAAAATACAATCCCATGTAAAATGGGTTCTGCTTCCTTTGTAAAATTGTCTCTGCCAAAGTCCTGCGCTTTTTCAGCCTACTGTCCGCAAACCATTCACTTGCTGCGGGCAGGAAGCCCACAGCACCAGCGCAGCTCACTTCGAGAAACCACTAAAACGCTTCGAAGAGATGGGCTCGTGTTGTTATGTTTCGTTCGCGTTCGTGTTTGCAAGGCGCGAACAGCTCTAGCGAAAGAGATCCAGCATTGGCTCAGGCTGTTCCCTGGGCTTTCTTTGAGCTCCTACAACTTTGCTCGGATTCTGTGGCGTGGCGGCGTTTTCAGTGTCACCCTTCGTGACAGCAGCGAGCGCTCTTGGAAGTTCCGACGCGAGGACTGACGGCCAACCGGCGGCTGGCGTCCCCCAACCAGTTGTTTTCCTCGCGGTTCCAAGCGTCTAGTGGGTGGTTGAACAGTTGCCGTGGGAGGTCTGTATTCGGAGCAGAGGGCATGTCGTACTTAGTGCACGAGCGGACCCTCATGAGTACTCTCAGGTTTTTGAGACAGGCTGGCGATTTCGGCGGGAGTTGATCCCCGCAAGGCAATATGGAAACACCGACTGGATCACATGCCTTGATCGTGCTGGGCCTCTGCATGGGCCGCGTTTTCTTTCGATTCCGCGGTGGTGGGATTGGGCACTTTTGGCAAGCTCAATGTTTGCTAGAAGCTTGCAACATCTCAGAACTGCGTAGAGCACTTTGTAGCCACTGGGCCGAAATCGGAACATGAATGCTGCAGGACCAGAAGTTCCAGATCCACTATGAAGACTGGACAAGGACAAGCGGCCTCGCACAACACTCCGGGCTGACTGTTGGATATGCTTCACCTCGGGTTGTTTGCCGCACTGGCCTTGCATAGCTTGTGTCTTGTTCAGCTCGGTTGAACGACAAGTAGCAAGGCCATTCAAATTCGATGCAAGGAGGTGAGGCTTTTGCTAATGGCCAGCAAACAGACTGTTGGATGCTCTCGGGCCTTGGCAAGATTGCAAACTGTTCTTCTCCAACGCGGCCAACATGCTTGTGACGACCCACTCCCTACAACCCGCCACTCGCTCCCCATTTGTCTTTCGTAATTGAGTGTGATGATCTGGTTGAGTTTGGTGGCCTTGGTGTCATTTTAGTCTGGAGTGTGGGCAGGTTGCGCGCAGGTAATCCTACTTTGTCCTTTTGCCTATGCAAATGGTTGAGCATGCCAGGGCCGTGTGGCACTCAACCGTTCGATTTTCAGGAGGCTTGGAGCTTGCCAGGATGTCTCCATCAGGGCAGAGCTACAACGACCCTTGCGTGCGCCTGCCTCTGAAGAGTGGACACCTTCGAATAGCGCGAATGAGGTCAAAGCCGCTGAGCTCAGAGCTTGGGATGGTGCTTGATACCGTGGATGGACGAAATCCATTTCGCACCACTTAGAAACCATGGGAAACCATTGTTCATTGGTATTTACAGGGGATTCATCATAGGTGGTGCAGGATTTCGTCCATCCACAGTACCTTTATTCAGCCTCCTGATGGGTGGTGTGTTTGGAGTTGGATTTGGGTCTCTGAAACCTCCCCCTAACCTGGAAATCACCGGGCTCCAAACCGCCACTCAGAGAGCAGCTGATTTGTGTTGGTGTTCTGGTCTGTGTCCAATTATGAGAGCCCCCGCCAGTTTGAGACACGGGCCATTTGAAATGCCAGTTTCAGAAAAGCCGTCCTCGTGCGGGGGTGAATGTAGGAAGATTGTTCCCTACACATGAGAAAGGGTGTCAGCTAGCTTAATTAATCCAATCTGTAGTTGACGGTTCTTCCTCTTTCCAAGTCGTTGCTTGCCAGGAGGCTTTGCATTTCGATAGCGCCTGGCAGGGATGAACCTAACTAGATGCAACTAAATCCGAACACAACTTAGTTACTATCAATCACGGCAATCACGGCCCAGACGTCAAGCCGTGCAGGTAGGCTAGTAGCAGAGAAAGCCAGCTTGACTGCCTACATGGATCTACATGGGCTTTTGCAAGTCACCTTTGCACTGACAGCTACTGCTATTGTATTCTTGTCAAGCCAATTTGCATTATTCTCGCTTGTCAAGACTCAGGTGTATTTTGGTCACCTGGTCGCCCCCTGCTGTAAGCCGAGGACAGCATTACGCGCGTTTGCACCGCTCTCCGTTCAAAATGGCTTGAAGAGGTGGTGGGTTTGTCAGTTACCTGACTGTACTTGCAGAAAAAAGCTGAAGTCCAGTCAGTCGATGTAGCACGTTCTTCTTGAATGTTCTCCCGTCGTGCTGGAAAGGGGATCTCCCAACCAACGAACAAAACCCTTTTGGTTTGGACAAATTTAGTGGCTGACAGCAACAAATATAAAAGACCTCATCCGTGGGTGTAAATGGTAGCCAAGTCAGACTCAGATTAGGGTTCAGACAGCACATTTGACGCAGGAGTCCCTATGACGGAGCTTCACCACTTTTTCAAGCGCGTCATTGACCATCCTCAGCTTGCCATCAAGGCGAGACGGCGAGACACGCTGACGGCAGCTTCATCGCAAAGGTCGGTTAACACATTATGCAACGCAGTAGGTGTGGTGCCTTCTCCAGATACTTGGCCCTTCAGTTTGTGTGTTTTAGTGTTTGTGTGTTTGTGGGTGCGCGCATGGTGCGTGCGTGCCCGTTTTGTCGAATGGGTGGGCGGGTGGGGGTCGAGCTTGAACGAGCGCATCGCAACAACCCCACTCTCCAACAGTAGCTCCCCCTAATAAGTATGATTTATAAGTGTCCTTCAAGTTCAAAGAGTTTGATGGCTTGTGCTTTTTGCGACGCTTGGCTTTTTGGTGATATCTGGCTTGTGCTTTTCTGTTCCAAAGCGAAAATAAAGAAGCTAGCATTTGAGAGCGGGTGGGCAGGCGGGAGGACGCGCTTGTGCGTGTGTGTGTGTGTGGTTCCTTGTAACCTTTGACGGCTGGAAAGGGCCGGCTGCGGTAACAAGTTTGCAGGGAGCAAAGGTGCATTGCTTGGGTTTTCGGTGAACGTGGCCTGGCCCACATCGAAACAACTGGCATTGTTTTCTCTCCCGTGTAGCCCTTGGTCTACTTGCCGTACTTGTTTTAGTTATGCTTGCGCGGGAAGACTACCTGTTTTTTCCTGCGTCTTGATCTACATGTTGCACTTGCTCTTCAACGGGATGGATGTCTGTTTTTCCACCACAGCCAGCCCACGGATTTTGCGGTGAACCTGCTCCGCAGTGGCCTTGCCGACGTCGTGAAAGCAGGCGTTATTTTGGTCTACTTGCTGCAAATGCTCCTGGTCCTTGCACGGCCCTGAACGCACGCGCCTGCTTCGCCGAACTGAGCTGATTCAACATTTCGACCTCACACTCCTTTTCTTCCTGTGGTTTCGGGTTTCCTGGATTCCGTCTTGACGACGTTGGTTGGCTTGATTGGTGTCCCATCTGTTACAACCCTGACTTGATCGTAGAGATCCGTCTCGACGTATGGGCGGCTGCGGGGCCCCCATGCGGCTGCCTTTTAGAGAGTTATTTTCGCCCTATGTGGCTCACGGATGACCAAACAGTTCTTCTGATGACAGTCTTTGTGCACGTGTGTGTCTTCATTATATTTATGTGTGTGTGTCTGTGTCTGTGTTTGTCTCTGTCTCTGTCTCTGTCTCTGTCTCTGTCTCTGTCTCTGTCTCTGTTTCTGTCTCTGTCTCTCTCTCTCTGTCTCTGTGTCTGTGTCTGTGGCTGTGGCTGTGGCTGTGGCTGTGGCTGTGGCTGTGGCTGTGGCTGTGGTTGTGGTTGTGGTTGTGGTTGTGGTTGTGGTTGTGGTTGCGTGTTTCTCTGCGTGCATGCGTGCGTGGGTGAGCGTGTGCGTGTGCGTGTGCGTGTGCGTGTGCGTGTGCGTGTGCGTGCGTATGTGTGCGTGTGTGTGTGCGGCGTGCGCGTGCGCGTGCGCGCGCGCGCGTGCGTGCGTGGGTGGGTGTGTGGGTGTGTGTGTGTGTCTCTGTGTGTGTCTCTGTGTGTGTCTCTGTGTGTGTGTCTCTGTGTGTGTGTGTGTTTGTGTTTGTGTTTGTGTTTGTGTTTGTGTTTGTGCTTGTTCGTGTGCGTGTGCGTGCGCGTGTGCGCGTGTGCGCGTGTGCGCGTGTGCGCGTGTGCGCGTGTGCGCGTGTGCGCGTGTGTGCGTGTGTGCGTGTGCGTGTGCGTGCGCGTGTGCGTGTGCGTGTGCGTGTGGGTGTGGGTGTGGGTGTGGGTGTGGGTGTGGGTGTGGGTGTGGGTGTGTGTGTGTGTGGGATGGGGTGGGTGGGTGGGTGTGGGTGGGTGGGTGGGTGGGTGGGTGTGTGTGTGTGTGAGCTTTGGTCCGCTGTTCAAGTGACTGTCATGAAACTACCCCCCCAGACACCTCCCCCTCCCCGCGCCATCGCGGACCAGGTTTGCCGCAAGAACATTGGACAAGCACATGACATGTTTTTGCGACGCGGAAAGGCAGAGGTCTTGAAAGTGCGGCAAACCCCTAAAGCTGCAACATGTTGCGTCAACCGGGGGGGGGTTGCCGCACTTGCAAGCGTAAGGGTTTTGTTGGTCTCGACCACTGTAGCACATGCGGTCAGCGCGAAGCACACCCCCCCAGAACCCCCCTCCCCCGCCCGGGCCCGCAAGAGTGAAGTCAATGAAGCGCAAATGCAAAGCAGGCGCTCCGCAAAAATGCTGGCAAAACGCATATGATTCGCACACCTGCGCAACTGTGTCTATACCTGCAAAACACAATTATTCATGCGAGCAAAACGTCTGTGTTTTACCAGCATTTGTGCAGCAATCTTGTCCTGCGCTGCCTCACCATCTCTGTCTCTCTTTTTCTTTATTTATTTCAGTCTTTCTTACTTGTTTCTGTAATTGTTTTTTCTGCCTTCCTTCCTTCCTTCCTTCCTTCCTTCCTTCCTTCCTTCCTTCCTTCCTTCCTTCCTTCCTTCCTTCCTTCCTTCCTTCCTTCCTTCCATTTGCTGGTTTGTTGGTTTGCTGGTTTGCTGGTTTGTTTGTTTGTTTGTTTGTTTGTTTGTTTGTTTGTTTGTTTGTTTGTTTGTTTGTTTGTCTGTTTGCGTGTTGATGTGTTAGTTTCTTGGTGTGTATGTGTTTGCGCGTCTTCGCGTGGGTGTGCGCGCGTGCGTTGCATTTGTACCTGTTCATGCATTGGTGGGTGTGATGGGCATGACTGTGCTGAAACTGGGCGTGGCGCAGCACTGATTCTGCATGTCACACACTTGCAAGTTTGCGCTCCGCTTGTCTGATCAGGAGGACGCTGTGGACGACTTCTGGAACTTTGCTGCAAGCTTTCGCAGCCCGGTCACGGCGCAGCAGGATCCTACCCAATCCAGGACAGGCCGTGTTGCACATGCTGGCACCTGAGACGAGCAGTGAACCCTGGCTTGGATCAAGAGGATGGATCCAAGCCAGCCGTCAGGCCGTGACACGATGGCTTGAGTTGTGGGCGACTGTCTTCTTAGCTTCGGGGGAGTCCTCGGCGACAAGAGGATGAAACTCCAACTCCCCCAGCATTTCAATGATAGTTTTGGGCCACACTTTGCGGAGTTTGGGGTTGAGCAACAAAGCAAGACACGTGATGGAACTAGCAATCCCTTGCCATGTGTCATTGCCATTGAAGTGGTGGTGGTGGTGGTGATTGCGTCCAATGCCCCCCTGCCAGCATTGGGAAGGTTTTCTCCGTATTTGCTTGGTTGTTCCTTGGTTTACCTCTCGTTGGCCCGCGCCACAGGAGCTTCGAGCCGAGCACAGTCAACATGTACCATGCCCTGCCCCACGTGCCAAGCCGGAATTGGTGACACTTTCGTACCGCATGCTACGACTTATTCCGGCAGTCACGCCCTTGCGCGCGGCTGCTAGCGTATAGAGCCAGCTGCTGGCTGTCTCGTTTGGCGGGTTTCTCTTCCGCTTTCATTTGGCTTGAGGTTATCATTCCTGAAGCGGCAGTATATGATGCCTCCTGGGCAGAGATTCACTCGCGCTACGGCCCCGCCAATGTCTTCGTGTCGCACGTGTGGGGCGAGACGGCGCAGAACTCCATGGAAGCCTTGAAGAAGCTCTATCTTTGGGCAGCTGGGCTGCAGTTCCAACTTTGTGAAGCCCGGGCTTGGGCTTGGAGCCTTCAAGTTCAGCTGGAGGGTTGTCTATGTCTAGGCCAGCTGTGGTTTTGTTTGTCCGGGAAGAACTTCTGAATGACTTGCGCATTTCGTGATCCACATGACCCGAACCTGTTGAGTCACACCTGCGACGCAGGGGGGAGAGAGAGAGAGAGACCAACGTTGAGCCCACCCTATTAAGACACATGAAGACTCATCAGCGTGATTTGAATTGGGTGTGTGTACAAACAGGGGGACCAAATGTTTCGTTGTTTGGTGGTTTTCCTTTTTTGGTTTCCCCTTCGGAGTCCCATTTGATTCGATCGAGGTGAAGTCTCAACCTCGTGAGACTTGCCCTACGACTTTCCGCGCTTGGCTTCTACAACCGCAATCGATGACTTGGACGGGCCTCATATGTGTGTGTGTGTGGGTGTGTGTGGTGTGGGTTTTCGGTCCCTTCCCCAAGTTCATTCATAACATGTTGACTGTGGTATGGATTTCGGTCTCTTCCCCCAATTAAATTTAATACTGACATTCCCGCCAAGCAGAAAGCATACTGGGACCAGGAAAGCAAGCTTTATTATGAGCGGGCTTCGAGGGCGAGTTTGGCTTAGCATTGGCGTCCATTTCTGAGTGGGGTCTTTCAGGATGCTAGCTTTGAGACATAATCTTGACAAGTCAGGCACATCCTTTTTGGGCTTTTGCTGCCTTGTGGAACACTTGATTGCTTTGGCATTGCGTTTGTGGCCCCACATGATGCACATGATGCACATGCGCTCAGCTTCCCGATTTCCTCTCCGCGGAACTGAGGTTCTGCACCATTTGCAACAACCAAAGCCGCATCTCTGAAGAGCTGGGCACTGAAGTGATGGAGTCGCCTTTCTACCAGGCTCAGGAGGTTGCAAAGCTTCCGGCACAGAGGGCTGGCTTGCCCTCATCCTGGGTTGCCAGTGGCATGCGCCAATGAAAATGATGTAGCATGACACCATGTGCTTATACCCGTAAAGTCCAGCAGCGCCAGGGGGTGGAAGTTTAAAGTTTGAAGTCAGAGCACACTCATTTTTCCCTTCTCTCTCTCTCTCTCCCTCTCTCTGGCTCTGTTTCTCTTTATTTTTCCCCGTGGCGTCTCTTTGTCTTTTTCTCTCCTTGTCTTCTGTTTGTTCTTCCTTTCTTTCTCTCTTTGTCTCCTCCTTCTCTTTCTCTTCTCCTTCGCCTTCTCCATCTCCATCTCCTTTCCTGTCTCTTTCTTCATCTTTCTCGCGTTTGTTCTTTCTTTTTGTTTCTCTTTATCTTTCTCTTGTCTTTCTCTCTTTCTTTTTCTCTGTTGCTTCTCCTCCTCCTTCTCTTTCTCCTCCTTCCCCTTTTTCTTCTCTTTCTCGTTCTTTCTTTATTTCTTTCTTTCTTTCTTGAATTGTTTCTTTCTTTGTTTTGTTATTTCCTTCTGTCTTTCTTTCTCGCTCTCTCCAGGCCCGAAAGTGGCAACCACTCAAAACCACGAGTTTTTGGAATAACGGTTTCGAAAGTCCGCAGAGGGTTCATATCTGATGCTTGCAGCTGAAAAACGTTAAACAAAAAGGAACGAATGTTTGGAAGTTAACCCCCCGAATCTCTGCAGAGGGTTCCTCGCTTCAAGTGAGAGTCGTAGCAAGAAGCCACGAGTTTTCGAGCGCGCGCAAACCCGTGCCAATGGGCCCGTCTCCGGGACTCGCGACCGAGGTGGTTTGCACACAAGTCGGGGCCGAAGTCAGCTCGTTTCAGTATTCCCCATCGTCTCCCGTTTCTTCTTCAGCATTTTCCACGCGCAGCGCATTTAGTCGCACAGATCATGCTCAGGTAGTCTGAGAGGGCAACCTCCAGCTAATATGACATAATGGAGCTCACTGCGCCCCGAGCCACCATGTCTCTCACAAAGAGCAACACAACGTCGGCCTAGAAGGGCATGAAAAACCTGCTCTAAACAAATTCAAGCTCAAAATGAGATCTAGTAAGCCATTCTCACCTGGGGCCACAATGACTTAAAGACTTAAATGGTCTTTGACAAGGCCAAAGATGGGCTTGGTGCAACAAATGGCCATGGGTCAAAATCCCGTACCCCGGTGAACATCCCAACCCCCGCTAAAATAGACTAAAATGGGTGGTGCACCTACCCCAAAATGGTACCATTGGTTTTGACCCACAGCCAAATGTGTGTTAGCCAACGTGTCAGCTGCCTTGCACAGATGGCACTGTTTGATTGAATTCGACCCACTGATGAGCCCCGAAGCCGGCATGTTTACCTCACCCGCCGGCTTGCAGGTTCTCAGTGCTCCCAGCTGCACAGAGGTGGGCCTGGTATCCCCGCTGTTGGCGCTGAACCGAAACTCGCTATGAGTCCATTTGCCCAGGTCGTCAAAATGAGGCGCACGAGCTGTCAAGTCACATGCCGTGCAACGTCTCCCACTACTAAACTAATACATAACCATATATAGATATATGTATATACATGAATACATATATATATATACATATGTGTATAGATCTGTGTGCGTATGTATATTTATACACATGTGTATATATATATAGACACATGGTTTGTAGGGCTTGGAGCTTGGCCAGGGACCAGGCACACGCCCAGGGCGTGCCATTTTTTGTTGAAGCTGTCGACTTATACTGGTAAGGGGATGGTTTCTGTTGAAGCTGTCCCAGGCTCGGAGCTGCCTTGTTTTTGCTTTCTTTGTCTGCAGCACCGAACGCAGGTTGCACCCACATCACCAGGATGACGGGATGCAAATTCACGGTTCTGTACAGCTGGTGTTGGGGGCCCCTTTATGCCTCTTCCGTATTGGGCATGGGAAGTCTTTGTGCAGGCACTTCCGAGCACGTTCATTTTGGACAGTGCTTGACATCAAAGGAGCCCCCAATACTCTCGTCATGTTTATTATGCTGCTGACAAGGCGTCCCAACAGGCACAGCAAAGGTTACAAGCGGCTTTCAGCATACGACCACTATCCACCACTACCATTCAAAGAACATGTGGTGGTTTGTGCTATCTAACCAGAACATGAAAAGCGTATTCCCCATTGTCAATTGGGCAGCGCTTTGCTTGCGGAACATCATTTGCATGGCAAATGGGGTCATCGAAGGTGATATCGTGTGAGGGCGCATGGCTAGTGCCAACGATCTTTGCAACGAGGGTAAGGGGTAGACTCAGGAACATAGGTCTCCTTTTTAGGTTAGTTTCGATAAAGATCGATGGCACTGGTTTCGATGGGGTTTGTTCCATTTACCAGGGCCATCTATTTTTCCATCAGGCCACCTATGCTTCCAAAAGGCCGCCTATGCTCAGGAAAGTGGTGCAACTTCGAGTTCTGTCTGGCCAACAGCCTCAACAAGTGGCCTGGATGCAGGTGGCAATGCGCGAGACAAGAAAAACCTTCCCTGGCACTTGTGCGCTGGCTGGGGTTTAGAGGGGTCCGGGGTATAGGTGTTGGATAAGACTTCAGATTTGCAGAGCGGATTCATTTTTGTCTAGGTTTCGGGTTTTGGAATTGAGGGTCGTGTTTACGGATTTCTCAAATGCATTGAACATGGCCTCGCGCGGTTCGGTTCAGAGTGAGATCAGGCGTCAAGGTGCTAAAGCCTGAAAAGCGGCTCGAGTCCATCCAAGCCGACTCCTTGGGCCAAATCAGAAGCCTGGAGCAAATCATGTTGAAACGGTTTGCGGATCTGGCAGGTTGCCGTCAAGAATTGCCATCTTCTCCAGGATGGATGAGACATTCACATCAAAGGATTTCCACCCATCTGACAGACCTTATGTCTCAAAGTGGGGTGCAGGTATCCCCGCGTGAGCATCTCAAACACCCGAGACCCAGGCCTAGAACCACGGTCACTGCGGGGTAGGCCCCTCGTCTGTACCCGCGTTTTGCGACTCGTCTGTACCCGCGGGAATCCACTCGTTTCTACCCGCGTGGTGGGCGCAGATGAGTCAGATTGATGGCAGTCCCCTATGCTCTAAACTTCACAAATGCAGTACTCACAAGTATTGTGTGGGCGCAGATGATCTTAGGTGTTTTGGGGCTTTACAGCTCTTCGAGAATATTCTGAGAAATTGCCATAGGTGTCTACTATTGGTCACGTGCGGTACGGTGCGGCGACCCTAAACCCTAAAAACCCTTAACCCAAACCCGTAACCCTAAAAACCCTAAACACTGAAGATCCTAAACCCTGAAGACCCTAAACCCTAAAATCCCTAAACCCTGAAACCCCTAAACCCTAAAAACCCTAAACCTAAAACCCTTAACCCTAAAAACCCTAAACACTGAAGATCCTAAACCCTGACGACCCTAAACCCTAAAATCCCTAAACCCTGAAACCCCTAAGCCCTAAAAGCCCTAAACCCAAAAAACCCCTGAACCCTAAAAAACCTAAACCCTAAAATCCTTAAACACTGAAGATCCTAGACCCTAGAAACCCTAAAAACCCTAAACCCTAAAACCCCAATCTCTAAAGATCCTACACCCTGAAAACCCTAAACCCTAAACCCTAAACCCTCAAACCCTAAACCCCCTAAACCCTAAAAACCCTAAACCCTAAAAACCCTTAACCCTAAAAACCCTAAACACTGGAGATCCTAAACCCTGAAGACCCTAAACCCTAAAATCCCTTAACCCTAAAAACCCTAAACCCTAAACACTAAAGATCCTAAACCCTGAAACCCCTGAACCCTAAAAACCCTAAACCCTAAAAATCCTTAACCCTAAAAACCCTTAACCTTAAAAACCCTAAACACTGAAGATCCTAAACCCTGAAGACCCTAAACCCTAAAAACCCTAAACCCTAAAATCCCTAAACCCTAAAAACCCTAAACCCTAAAAACCCTTAACCCTAAAAACCCTAAACACTGAAGATCCTAAACCCTGAAGACCCTAAACCCTAAAATCCCTTAACCCTAAAAACCCTAAACCCTAAACACTAAAGATCCTAAACCCTGAAACCCCTGAACCCTAAAAACCCTAAACCCTAAAAATCCTTAACCCTAAAAACCCTTAACCTTAAAAACCCTAAACACTGAAGATCCTAAACCCTGAAGACCCTAAACCCTAAAAACCCTAAACCCTAAAATCCCTAAACCCTAAAAACCCTAAACACTGAAGATCCTAAACCCTGAAGACCCTAAACCCTAAAATCCATAAACCCTAAAAACCGTAAACCCTAAAAACCCTCAACCCTAAAAACCCTAAGCACTGAAGATCTTAAGCCCTGAAGACCCTAAACCCTAAAATCCCTAAACCCTAAAAACCCTAAACACTGAAGATCCTAAACCCTAAAACCCTAAACCGAAAAAAACTGAACCCTAAAAAAATCTAAGCCCTAAAATCCTTAAACACTGAAGATCCTAAACCCTAAAAACCCTAAACCCTAAAAACCCTAAACCCTAAAACTCTAAACACTAAAGATCCTAAACCCTGAAACCCCTAAACCCTACAAACCCTACACCCTAAAAACCGTAAGCCCTAAAAACCCTGAACCCTAAAAACCCTAAACACTGAGTATCCTAAACCCTGAAGACCCTCAACCCTAAAAACCCTAAACCCTAAAAACCCTAAACCCTAAAACCCTAAACACTGAAGATCCTAAACCCTGAAGACCCTAAACCCTAAAATCCCTAAACCCTAAAAACCCTCAACCCTAAAAACCCTAAACACTGAAGATCCTAAACCCTGAAGACCCTAAGCCCTAAAAACCCTAAACCCTCAAATCCCTAAACCCTAAAAACCCTCAACCCTAAAACCCTAAACCCTAAACCCTAAACCCTAAAAACCCTAAACCCAAAAAATCTGAACCCTTAAAAAACCTAAGCCCTAAAATCCTTAAACACTGAAGATCCTAAACCCTAAAAACCATAAACCCTAAACACTTTAAACCCTAAAACCCTAAACACTAAAGATCCTAAACCCTGAAACCCCTAAACCCTAAACACCCTAAACCCTAAAAACCGTAAACCCTAACAACCCTTAACCCTAAAAACCCTAAACACTGAAGATCCTAAACCCTGAAGACCCTAAACCCTAAAAACCCTAAGCCCTAAAAACATAAATCCTAATGACCCTACGCCCAAAAACCCTAAAACTCTCTGTGGGCAGGGATGAGCCCAAAGTGTGGGCGCAGATGATCGTCCGCTGACCCCTTTTTTGCAAAGGGTCAACTTCTAAGTATTCGCGAAAGAATCTGTGGGCGCACATGAGTCAGAAAATGTGGGCGCAGATGAGTCACTTCTGTGTGGGCGGAGATGAGCCGAAAATGTGGGCACAGATGAGCCCCTTTCCCACTGCGGCACCGTCAAACCATGGGGCTTGGAGACACGGAACCTTATGAGCTTTAGCTGCCTTGGATTTGCCTTGCCGTGGCCTACAGGACCACAGCCATTCCACATGAGAAGCCGAAACCTCGAGTTGCAGTCCAAACTCACGGGTCCGCGCATGCCATGAGGCACCCAAACGCGACTTATCCTGGAGCACATGCCGGATCTATCCCCCAACCTATCCTATCACTCTTTCAGAGCATGTGTAAAAACTGGGAAACCTTTCCGGAATAGACCCGGAAATGCATGCACATGTGGACGTTCTCGACTTGAAGCCAAAGTGGGACAACGGTGAAGCATGTTCTCACTTTTGATCCTACATGCTTGCATTGTGCATCCACATTTCAAGAGCATGGAAAAGTAAAGTTTTGGAACACGCAATGGACAAACGTGCAACCCAAAGGAACTGTGGTTGCAGTCAATGTCCAGCTGTTGCCGCAACTTGAGGCCTGTCTGGATGGTCACCAGCGATGGTGTTGTGCAGGCGGGAGCCGTGCCACCGAAATGCCTCAAGGACCTTGCAGATGCCGCGGGGGTGCTCAGAACAGAACTCGCCCTGTGCATAGTGCTTTGCTAGCACGGCACTTTTGACGGTTGACGGAGGTTTTGAGCAGGCTCGGGACGTGCAGGTGACGGCTTCTTAGTTGGGTATTTTGCTTGCTGCCTGCGTGCATGGTCTCGTTCTTTTGTGCCAAAATGCTGGATTGCGAAGAGTGCCAGCACAGACCCCTCACCAGACCCTTGCTCAACCGCTTTGCACTCCGGACTAAATTTGCCTTGCCCGCACTCAAACCCAAACCCATGCACCACGCCGGCCACCCTCAGGCCCTCCTCCCACCCTCAGCCGGCTGCGCTGCCATAGTCGACACTGACTTCCAACTTGCCTCCCATGCCCGGACAGATCTCTGCCGCCGCTTTCAGTTGACCAAGCGCCTGCCGCATGTGTGTGCTAGCAAATTTGTCAGCGCGCCAGCGTAAGGCAAAGAAGGCCCGATGCAATCAAGGCGATCAATGCGAGAACTGATGTAATTGTTTGCTGCCTGTGCTTTGTCGCTTGACTACTGCCTTGGGATTTACCTTGTGATGTTGTCATTTTCTGTCAAGTTGGCCTGCAGGCATCATCAAAACCACACTGGCACGCTCACATGCACGCGCATGATTACTTGTTCTGCATCACGTGCTTACGTAGGCAGCCTATGAACTATAAGCAGAGCTCAGCCATGAAGTTTGTCAGCTTGTGTTCGGGCCATCCGTCAGGTTTGCATGCTTACCGGGATCATGTCGGTCGAATGACTGCATGACGCAATGGCTTCGATGCAAGCTCTTGGTGTTGGCCAGTGTGCACCATGTCTGCTTGGGCTGCATCCGGCCACGCCCACTGAAGCAATGCCACGTACATCTTGGACCATCGTATGCAGGGAAAGATGCTCAGGTCATCTCATGTCCACAAGTTTGTTGGATGCTTTGCATTTAGAGCACCTTCCCCTGCGGTGACAGCATGTTCTCAATCTTTGCATTAAAGGATCCTAGATAATCACCCCCGACTCACTTCTTGCGCTTTGCGACTTTGCTCAAAGAAGCATCAGGGTTCCGCCGTCTTTTCTTTCAATTCCTTACCCCGAGGTCTTGCACTTCCACTGCAAGGATGCGGCCTGCTCAGTGCAGGAGGATGAGAAGTTGATTGACAACTTCGTGGACTCCATGGGTGGCTACGACGCTCTCGACAAGAATCTGAAGGCGTCCGGGCATCAGGGCGTCAGGGCGCATTTGGATTTCCCATCCTTTCGGCGAAGCGCTTTTTCTTTTACTTTCGCGGTTTGGAAGGTGGCTCGTCTATGAGTTTGTGGTACTTTCTCCCTTGCCGCTTTTTTGGTCCAATCCCATGCGCGTGCGGGTTCGGAACATGGCAGATTTGCCCCTTTTTGTGCAAGCCAGGAGCATGCTCGAAAACCACAGCCAAGAGCATGTTGTATACAGTATGTATTGCATACACAACTATGCAGAGAGATATGGGGGGAAGTTCTGTGCTCTGAAGCCGATGGCCTGCACTCTTGAGCTTCAGGAACTGAGAAGCCCGGCAGATGTCACAATGTTTCAGCAAATTAGTCTAATCCACTACAGGGTTAGGGACTTGACGCCATCTTTCGCTTCAATCAGTTCTCAGGGCTACTTGTGGGTTGAGTGTTTTGGTTGCAAATCCGTGGGCAGTGCCACTGGTGATGTTCACATGGAACCGGAAAGCGCTTCGCACCAGGACGTTTTCTCTGGAGCTATTCAAAATGCGCATCGTCACACGGAGGAGGCGCAACTGAAAGCCACGACTTCCCTGCCGTGGTTGTACATGGCTGCACCATGTTCCAAGTTCGTGAAAAGGCTTGGCTTGCGAGCATGATTGCCCCTTTCAGGACCAAACGTTTTTTCGTTTTTTTTCCCCCCCTCCCCTTGGTCAGAACTATTGACTAAAGCCCGCCCGGTGTGATCATGAAGCAAGACAAGGGGCAATTGAAGGTAAGAAACGGCATTTCCAAGCAGTAAGCATGCGTGGAGGTGCCCACTCTCAGTTTGTGTGGGTTTGATACGTTCTTTTCATACCTGGTTTTGGTACTTTTTTATGCACGCCTTAGGGATAGTGGACACTCATGTCAGGTTTCTTCCCAGAGCGGCTGAGCCTAGACAGCTGGGTGGTCCTTCTCTTGGTTCCTGTGGGCAGTTTGTGGAATGCCCGGGTCAATCGCATACGTACGTGCCGGAAAGGCTTAGGATAAGGGGCAGCGCTTTGGTGCATGTTCAGTCTTCCAAAGCCAAGAGCACCAGGCGCGACAACCGCAAGGATTCATAGAGCCTTGTCAAAAGCTCAACCGTTCACCGGGGGACAATGCGGCACTCTGGAATGCTTGTCCGTCTTTGAGGGGAAGATGCTACCTACATGTTCAACACATTGCCCCCGAGTGTCAACCAGGCCTTGCAGCACTGAACACTTCGGGAGCCCAGCCTTAGGATAAGAGCCCACAACTTGCCCACATGGCAGCAGCTTGATCCACATCAGTCTGGGTTCCCACTTTCTGTTTGCCAACTACTTTTGGGATTGCAGGTGTTGCAAGTGTTACAGGCAACTTGGGTTCGAAATGCGGGATGCACATGATGACTACGGGCGAGAGTTGGGTGTGGCCAAAGAGCTGCGAGGCAATCAAACTCGTCCAGCACCTTCACAAGACCTCATACGTACACTTATGACAGCAACTCGGCATATTCAGGGGCGGGGGTATTCTTGTCTGACTCGAGATACGCACTCGAGGAGAAGCTCCGAATGTGACTTGCAGTTGCAGGGCTTGTTTGATCCTGTTTGCATCAAGGCCTGCGGTGAACTTCTCCAGGAAGTGCCTGACTTGCAGTGCTTGGTATGACGAGGTCCTTGTTGGAACCTGTCCAATGACGTGAGGACTTGGAACCCGTCCAAGTCTTTCCGGTTCTTTGCACATTCGTCTGCATCGTTGAACGTTCTGTATCCGATGCTCCCGTGTTTCATGCAGAGGAATTCGACCAATGCTCGGGAGGTCGAGCTTGGGTAGACGGAC